AAGTGGGGACTTGCCTCTCCCAGTGAAGGGACAGGCAAGGTGAGGCTGAGGCACTGAAGGGGGAGAGATGCAGAAACACATGCTGACGGCAGGGAGGGGACTAGCTGGGCTGGGACCCTGAGGGGGGACAGGAGCTGTGGCTAGACACTCTCTAAGTGGGGACTTGCCTCTCCCAGTGAAGGGACAGGCAAGGTGAGGCTGAGGCACTGAAGGGGGAGAGATGCAGAAACACATGCTGACGGCAGGGAGGGGACTAGCTGGGCTGGGACCCTGAGTGGGGACAGGAGCTGTGGGAGCAAAAATTGTTGCGGAGCCTGAGACCCAGGTCCTGAGACTGTTGGAGGAGTCTGGACTGCACCTTGTACTGAAGGCTCCAGGCAGGAAGCCCGCCTCGGGCAGTGTGTGAGGAGGGTGAGCAGTAGTGAGTGGAGGGAGGCGACCAGCGCAGCAGGGTGGGGGTGGTGGTGTGAGATACAGGGCTCAAGGGTGCCATTCACCCCTTCCCTCACTCATTCGTTTATTCATTCATTCATTCATTCAATATTTAATACGTGTCTGGATATGTGCCAGTCTCTGTTTAAGTACTGGGGACACGGCTGTGAACAAAGCAAAGCAAAGCAAAGCAAAGCAAAGCAAAACACTCCTGCCCTAGTGAAGCTTACTTTCTAGTCAGGGGAGATAGATTATAGACAAGATCAAGACTTTATGTATTTGCGGGTGAGCCTTGTGGAGAAAAGGAAAGCAGGAGGGACACAGGCTGGCCACAGAAACACTCTCGCAAAAAGTGTCGTGTTGTCTTAGATGGTCTTGCCCCCAGGGGCAGTTCTTCAGGACCCCCATCCCCCCCCCCAACACACACATGCGCACAACAGACTGGATGCAGGCAGCTGAGCCTCCCCACTTCCCTCCAGAACATCTTCGCCTGGTGTGGTGGCAAGTCCAACATCCTGGAGCGCAACAAGGCGCGGGACCTGGCCCTGGCCATCCGGGACAGTGAGCGGCAGGGCAAGGCCCAGGTGGAGATCGTCACGGATGGGGAAGAGCCCGCCGAGATGATCCAGGTTGGGGGACGTTGGGGTGGGCAGCCGGGAGAAGCTGGGGGGAGGAGGGTGGTCAGGAGAGGAGGGGGGGTGGGGATGGGTGGTCTGGGGGTACTGTTTAGGCCTGTGGCTTCTCACAGGGTGCTTTGTGCAATTCAGAATAAAGCGCCCCTCTGGGTGGATGGACCAGTGCTCTGGCAGGTGGACTGGGCTGGACCCAGTCCTCACTCGCCTCTGCTGGGTGCCCTTGTGCAGGACACGGTTTGCCTCCCCCAGACGCGGTAGCCTCAGGCATGATGGGTTGGGAAGGTCTGGGGCAGATGCCCAGGAGTCCCTGGAAACCTGGCCTGCTGTGGCCCCTCTAGGTCCTGGGCCCCAAGCCAGCTCTGAAGGAGGGCAACCCCGAGGAAGACCTCACAGCTGACCGGACAAACGCCCAGGCCGCAGCTCTGTATAAGGTGGGCACTCTGGGCCTGCCCTGCGCCGGGGCAGGGTGTGCTGAAGGGAGAGGGGGAAGCCCGGGGAAGGTTGGGTCATGCAGCAGGGTGGCTTCTCCGGGGCTCCGAGCGAGGTGAGGATGGGAAACGGATGGATGCCCAGCCCTTCTGAGGAGATAAAGACCACTTCACTTCTCCCCCATTCTTGGAAAAGGAAGTGTGAAACCAATGCTGAGCTTTACTTTTTTGGGTTCATTGCATTCATTTGTAATTTGGAGTCCACTTAATTTCCAAATGGATGCAGGGCCTTGGTGCTGCAGTGACTGAGGGTGACATGAGGGTTGGTGTGCCCAGTCTCCTCTCCGCTCCTTGGGCTGGGGCGATGAGTGGGGACCTTGGGGACTGTGGTCTAGGGGCGGAGGTTAGGGCTGTGTGCTGGGGGCAGCGGGTAGGATCTGGCACTGCCCATCCTCCCCCAGGTCTCCGATGCCACCGGACAGATGAACCTAACCAAGGTGGCCGACTCCAGTCCCTTTGCCCTTGAGCTGCTGCTGTCTGATGACTGCTTCGTGCTGGACAATGGGCTCTGTGGCAAGATCTACATCTGGAAAGGTACACGTGGCTTCTCCATTCTAGCCTGAGGCCCCTGCAGCTGCTCAGACCTGGGCATGCTTCCCACTGTGGGGCTCAGCCTGCCTGATTGCTTTCAAAAACAGCACCAGGGAGCTGCTGAGCCTTTTCTCTTTGCTGTTCCCACCCCTAAATTCCAGGCAGGGTTTCTGAAGTATCAGCAAGCCTTAGAATCACCAGAGGGCCTGTTAGAACGGATGGCTGGACACTCCCACCCCCCAAAGAATTTTCATATCTAACTGGTTCCCAGGCCTTGCTGCTGGTCCAGGATCACATTTTGGGGACTGCTGTCCTAGAGCACCCCTAGGCCTTCAGGGCTGCTGGGACCCTAGTCTTGCCATTCTGCCTTGGGGTATGAACAGAAATTTTAGATAAATTAAATCTTACTTGGTGCCCTGGGTAATGAACTAGTAGAACTTGTTTTTCCCAAGAAATTATATTGGTTGGAGATAGAAACACTGTTGTGTACAAGCTTGTTCGCTTGGTTTAACTCCAAAAATGTTGAAACAAATCTCTGAGTCTCCGACTGACCCTGGGAACTTCTTTCTCCATGCTTCTCTTTTCTCGAGTGTGTCTTACCTCCCTGACCAGATTATAACCTTCCTGAGAGCAGGAACAATATCATCTCCAGTGTTGTGGCGAAATAGCATTTGCTCAATAAATATTTGTGGGGGCAACCAAAGCCCAGAGAAACCCGCAGCCCTAACCTAGGGAGGAAGATGGGCAGGGATTAGGCGGTCCCAGGGTAGCTGCTACTGGCCAGTAATACTCCGGGCTCGGGGAAGGGCCAGAGCAGCAAGGAGCTGCTCTCCTTGCTTTCTGTGAGCTGGGGCGGGGATGGTGGGAGACTGGACACTGGGGCTGCCTTTCCCCTCTTGCCACAAGGTACCTTTCCCATGGAACCAGTCCCGAGCTTGAGGGGTTCCCACGTGTCCACAGAAGGGAATTTAACCCCAAGCAAAGAACCGAATCATTTTGGAAAGAGAAACCAGAGAAGAAAAACAAACAAAAAGAAAATTGGGAGCTAGCAAGAGAAGTATCTTGCCTTACCTAGAGCACATCTTGCACTAATGGGATTGCCTACAGGAGGGGATGGATAACTGTATGGTCTTGCTTTTTATAAGCTCTGGCATCATGGGAGTGAGGTAATAATAAATCACAGCCTTTTGTCCTATTTAGGTTTACACAAAAGGCTTGATGCTTGTTGATACTTGTCAACAGTACAGTTGACAGACTCCAGCGGTAAGGTGTCCTGGATGGGGCTCTCGACTTAGAGTCTCATGCCACGGGGAACACTAACTCTGAGCATCCATGGGGCCCTGGTCCGAGCAGAAGGTTTCCATTAGAGCAGGCAGAAAGAAGAGTTTCCATCCCATTTGGAGCTGCCAGATTAGGAGAAGTCTCCAGGCCTGACTTCACACCTCCAGACTCCTCAGCATCTTAGCACCTCCTGGTCCATTTATTTGAGAAGCTGCCAGCTATCTATGGACCGCTCCTCCCATCGCTTTCCTTGAGGAAATGGGATGTAGGCTAGAGAGGGTCCCTGCTCTTTTTAAAAAATTCCCCTTCTGATTGATCCAGGGCGAAAAGCTAACGAGAAGGAGCGGCAGGCGGCTCTCCAAGTGGCTGAGGACTTCATCTCCCGCATGCGATATGCCCCCAACACTCAGGTAAGGAGAAGCCTGGTGCCCCCCTCCCCTTCCTGGGGCTCTTCCTGTGGCCCCCTAACCTGCAGACCGGACAAGAAGGGCTGGAAATCCTTGGGCACAGTCAGGAACAGTCAGGCCTCCCTACGGGCCCCTCCAGGTTGAAAGCCCTTTTAATCCTTCAACATTTAAAAGTACATGGTGTTTTCTCTTCCTTTTTAAAAGATTTATTTATCTGAGTGAGAGCGAGCTCGCACAGGAGCGTGATGGGGGAGGGGCAGAGGGAGAGAGGGAAGGAGAGCAGCGGACTCTGCTCAGTGCGGTCTCTATCTCACGACCCTGAGATCATGACCTGAGCCGAAACCAAGAGTCGGATGCTCAGCTGACTGAGACACCCAGGCGTCCCAAAAGTACACAGAGTTTTCTGAGGGGACGTTGGGCAGCCCTCCTCTGGCAGCCCAGAGAGCCTGGTGCGGGCAGCCTGTGTGCCTCCTCTGGGCCCTGCTCTCCGGCTCCTCCTGCCCCTGTTGCCCCAGCACGGTGACTCCATGAGTCATTCCAAGGGGAGCTGATAAAGCTCAGAGATGACAGCTGCATCTCTCGGACTATGCACCCAAGTGCTTGACGCTGTCTGTTTTCTCAGCTGTGTCCCATCTCTTGGCTTATTTCTTGGCCAGGAGCATCCGTGGCCTGGGCGGCCATGTGGACTCGGGCCTGGCAGCCGGCACCCTGCTCCACGGCTCTGCTCTGGCCTTGCCTGGTGGAACCTCGTGGGCTAGACTTCTCCCCTGGTCTTCCTGCAGGTGGAGATTCTGCCCCAGGGCCGTGAGAGCCCCATCTTCAAGCAATTCTTCAAGGACTGGAAATGAGGGTGTGCGCCTCCCTGAGCCCCGCCTCCTGCCCGCTTTCTCCTCCTCTGGCTGCCTGGTCAGTGCAGAGGTGGCCCCGAGGCTGTTCAATAAAGGAGATGAGTGCTTTCCTGACCCTCTGCCCTCACCGCCTGCCCTGAGCTAATCCTCACTCCCCCGCTTGCCATCAGGGCTCATCCAGGGGCAGGGGTAGAGGAGGGCCCGGCAATCCCCCGTCGTCCCACTCAGGGGCTGGGGCAGACTTTCGAAGCGGTGGGGCCCGGAGCTCCAGATAGCTGGTGGGGACTTTGGGGAGCCTGGTGGGGAGGAGGCACAGCCCCGGGCCTGGGCACTGCTTGCCACTGGGGTTCAGTTCCGTCACACGTCCCCAGCTGGGACGAGGCTGGGGCAGCAGGCTGGGGACGCAGTTCTGTTTGAGCTGTGATTTCCTCAGCTGCCCTGAGAACCCACTGTGAGGCGGCACCTGAACGACATGCTTGCTGACCAGGAGGATAGCTTATTGCCGCTGAACACAAGTCTGGTTTGTCACCTCGGGGGCGCATCACATCACATTAGGCCGATGGGAACAGGGCCACTGGAGGGCCAGGGAAACCCCAGGCTAGTGTGGAGAATCACGGAGTCTGGTTTGTGGGTTACCCTGCTTCTGGGTCGTCCTGGCCAAGCTACTTTTCCTTGTCTAGGCCATTCTTTTGTATCACGGGGTGGTGGCTGGAAAACCAGGCTAGAGAGCCAGATGGGAGAACGGAGTAGCCCAGAGTGCTCAATCCGGGGGCAGGAGCAAGGCTGGGTAAGTCTGAACTGGAGTTCAGGAGGTCAGGCTGAGCTGTGGCTGTCCTGACCCACTCCCACCCCTGGGCCCCAAGGGTTATGTGCCTTCTGAGCTCTGATCGGCTGATTCTTCCATCCCCAACAAATTCCAACCAAGTTCATCTTGATTTCGTGCAAAGCAGCACAGGGAAATCAGCTCAGCTCCTCTACGTATCCCCCCGTCTTCTCTCTGGGGAGCTGTGTGGGAGTCCACCCGACAGCCTACGGAGACAGCATGTGCCAGGGATGATTCGCAAAGGAGAGCGAGAAGGAGGGGCACCAGATCCGTGGTTCTGACCTTTGTAGGGTTGTGAAGCATTTTACATCTCCCGTGGAAGGCCTAGATAGGCCCTTCCTAAGAAAAATGCACAGGTTAAGATGTTTGCATCTACTTCCGAAGGGTTTCGGCCCCCCTCCCCCTTCCCCAAGAGAACCACAACTTAATCCCTGGACTGTGCTGTTGCTAATGTCCCAAGGTCTGAAGCTGAGCACTCCGGAGGCATTACATGGGGAGTGACGTAGTTAGAAAGGACTCTCACAGAGGCCACTGGCCTCCCCTCCAGCTAGAAGCCCACGTGGACTGGTCCCCAGCCATGCTGCAGGCTACTGGGTGTTGTCTTTCCGGTCTGCAGAATTAGCCTTCTGCAGAGCAAGTGGAAGGAATCTGCAGGGGAGGAGCTACAGAACGGACACTCTCAAGTGGAGGTTGGGTCGTAGCCTTTCTGCGCCCCTGCCCCACCAAGCTCAGGATGCTCTTGGCCACCCCTGCAGGCCCACTAAGAACCCAGATTGGAGGAAGTAAAGGGGACGAATGATTAGTTCAGGTTGGGCCAGGATGGTGCGAGGCAAACTGCAGTCCATTACCAGCCCCGGCCTTGAGGCATCCTGCTAACAACGGTGGGGAGTTCTCTGCTGTACCGGGGGGCTGTGTTGTTTCACCTCAGCACTGCACCCCAGCTCCAGAGGGTTGGACTTGGAGAAGTGTGTAGGGGTGAGACTGTGATCTTCCATGGGTCTACTTGAAGGGGTACAGAGGACAGAGCAGTGTAGTGGGGTCTCCCCAGCTCAGGACACCCTGACCGGGAGCAATGGAGCAACAGAGCTACTAGCTTCCCCAGAAGCCAATGTAGGAAAAACACATGGGGGCCTCACAGCAATCATAACCAGAGCCAGGGCCACCCTTCCCCCTAGCTAGAGTGTGCAAGGAGTCTGGGCCTCTAAGTGCAGGATGGACACCACATGCCCTCAGTGGGAGGCTGGCCAGGGCAGAGCAGCATTCTCTCCTGGAGCCCCTGGCTCTTACCAGGCCCTGGAACAGGACCACAGCAAGGTACGAGGCTTGTCTTAGAGGAAAACACTTGGGGCCCCTGACCTAGAACAATTCTTTTATTCAAAAACTGCTGGTGTGTGAATCTCCTCCTTCCTTCAACCAGGCCAGAAAACCACCCCTGATGGGAAGTGGATACCTCCACGGGGTAGGGGGCGTGCAGCAGGGGGTTGCCCAGCTGGCAGACAGCTGGGATGGGCAGGGTGGGCAGCAATGGAGACACCCACCAGAAAGCTGGTTCTGTGACATAAACTAAGGGACAGGGAGAGGGGAGGGTGGGATAAGTCCAGACCAGAAACCCCCAGGGGCCCGGCTACCAGCTTGGGAGAGGATAGAGAGAAGGCCTCTTGCCCTGGTTCATGCTGCTGCATTGGCTGCTACGATGGCTACCTTCTCCCTTCAAATTCTAGCTGCAGGTCCCTGTCCTGTGGACACCCACAGCCTGAGAGCCCTGCTGCCCAGTGACTCAGAATTCTGGCCCCTCTGTGTGGGAATATCTCTCAGCGGGATACGGGGAACATCCATGCAGGGCCTTCCCACCTCATGATCCATCCACTTGTTCACCTGGAAACCAATTCTCAACTAACTCAGCTCCAGATACGGCAAATTCTTGCTCTGGAGGCGGGTCTACGGAGAGCGGGATGGGTCTAACTAACCTGAAATTCTCACTGGGTGAGAGTCCTTGGCCTCCCCAACCAGGCCCAGCCAGGGTACGCCTGGCATAATGCCCCATGCACCCTCCCAAGCCCCTCTGGCCCAGCCTTTAAGTGTCTCTGTCAGCCTTGGGCTGGTCAGATCAGCCACGTGCCTTCGGATGAATGGGGTGGCAGGTCACACACGCCTGTGAAGGTGAGATCCTTGGAGTGAGGGGCTTGTGGCCCATAGCATTTCGGTGCTCCCAACAATGAGGCCTGTCCCTTTGACACTCCAGCCAGGTAGATTTCCAGGGTCTTGAGCAGCCGCCTGGGGCTCTTCTTGGCCAACACCTCCAAGTCTGGAACAGAGGATTGGAGAACAAAAGGCTTGACGGGGTTCTGGACTGCACACTAGTCCGGGCCCAGCAGCTCTAGGCAGCGCTCTCATCCCAGACCCCGCGGGGAGAAGGGTGAAGGAGTGTTCTAAGATGGAGGGTCACCAGAGAGGGAGGATGACGGACCAGAAAAAGCCACAGCAACCACGCCTTCTACCTTGACCAGGACAGTCTCAACTTGGAATGGTTAGTCCAACTGTTGGGCCCAGCTTTTGATTAGAAACCATGACCACCCTACGTCTGAGGCCAGAAAGGGAGGACAAGTGGCAGGGAAAGGAGAGCGAGCAGGCTCCAGAGGGTGGGCTGATGGAGACTTTGAGAAGCTGGAGCTTGAGAGGATGTGAGTGGGGGGGCTGGGGGGAAGGGAAGCACAGTCCAAACCAGGCTAGCCACCACCCTGGGGTCCCTGAATCTGGGGAGAGGGATGCTAGGGAGTTCAGGCCTCTCCAAGAAGAAAGAGCACACCTTTGAGGACAAGGCCAGAGTCAGCGATGGTCTTCTGTTGCGTCCTCCAGACATGTGCGAGGCGGAGGAAGGTGGCGGCATAGAAGCTGTTCACCACGGGGACCACCTTCTGCTGCCGGTTACACTCCCTGCAGCACAAACGGGGTGGTGTGCCCAGCAGCCGACAGACCACGGCTGACAGCTGGGTGCCTCGGCCAGCCCCATTCCCGACACAGCCTTCAACCCCAGGGCAGGGTTGGGAGATGGGCACGGGCTCCCCAGAGAGAGCAGGGAGAATGGCGTGGGGATGGGAGGGAAGCAGGCTCTGCTGGGTCACTGCTGTCAGCCAGCCAGCAGCCAGGACCGAGCAGCGGGGACTCACCTGGAGAGGCTGTCCTCCCTTAAGGCCTGGATTGTGATGCGGGTGATGTTCACGGACATCAGACAGAAGGGGAACTGCTGGAATGGAGTGGGCAGGGGTCAGCAGCAGCCCCGGCTCTTGCCTTCTGGAGCCACCATCCACAGCCCAGCAAGGCCCGCTGTAAGCAGGGGCAGCCACGGCCCAGAGGTGACAGCTCACATTGCTGATGCCACACTTGATTTTCGCACTAATCATCCCATTTCCCAGATGAGGAGGTTGGGACTCAGCGACCTGAAGTGATCTCCCTGAGGGGGCTGCAACCAGGATCCCAACTGAGGATAATTCACTCCCGGCAGGCATAACCCCCATGCTAGCTCTCCAGCCTCTTCGCCATCCTGACCCATGGGCTTTCCTTGACCTTCATTCACCAGACCCACCATGGTGCTGCCCAAGCACCGCACCACCCCCTGGGGTCAGGGTGAACACAGGAGGGGTGGGGCTCGGTTAGCTAACCGTACGGGTTCCTACAATCTCTTCTCCCTTTTTCTAGGTGTCTTTTTATTTGACTGCTCATAAGCACTTCATTCAAAAGTAGACAGCACAGGTAGAAAGTCAGCCCTACTTGCTGACTTTTTGTCAGTACCCATTTGTCAGTAACAGAGTCCTGAGAACGAGCTGTGCAGGTCAGAGAGGGGGCAGCATGGGGTTCGGCAGGGCTGCTTCCCCAGGGGGGCCTCAGAATTCCCTGTGGGGTCCACTTTAATGCTTTATTTTTTGGAGGGGCACGCTCCTTTCTTTTTTATTTTTTTAAAGTAGGCTCCTGTGTGGAGCCCAATGCAGGGCTTGAACTTGTGACCCTGAGATCAAGACCTGAGCTAGACCAAGGGTCAGATGCTAAACCCAGCAAGCCACTCAGGTGCCCCATCCTTCCCATTCTTTCATAACAAAAAACTAAGAAAATGAAGAGGGGCTTTTCCCAGGACATTTCCATATATTATATATTAGTTTCCACCGTTGCACATACTCAAGGACACCCACTGAGAGGGCCCCACAGAACAGTGCACTCATTAGTTTAGAACAAGAGCCAAAGTCTATCCCATCTGCTTCCCCTGAGAAGAAAAAGCCATTACATTATGATGCAAAACTGTGCTGTCCACTATGATAGTAAGCAGCAACACAGAACTATTCAAGTTTATTATCTTTTTCAAAGATTTTATTTATTTGACAGAGAGAGAGAGAGAGACAGTGAGAGAGGGAACACAAGCAGGGGAGTGGAAGAGAGAGAAGCAGGATTCCCGCTGAGCTGGGAGCCCAATGAGGTGCTCAATCCCAGGACCCTGGGATCATGCCCTGATTAAATTAAATTTAATTAATTTAATTTTTAAAATTAATTTAAAAATTAACATTGGGGTACCTGGGTGGCTCAGTCGGTGAAGTGTCTGCCTTTGCCTCAGGCTCAAGCTCCTTGTTTAGTGGGGAGTCTGCTTCTCCCTCTCCCTCTGCCCCTCCCCACACCACCCTGCTTGTGCTCTCTCTTTCAAATAAATAAACAAAATCTCTTTAAAAAAGTTAAACAAACTTAAACATTCAACTCCTTAGTTGAAAAAGACTCAAGTTTTCAGTCCTATTAGTCCTATTTCAAGTGTTCCATAGCCATGCGCGCTCAGTAGTTTCTGTCTCAGACAGCGCTGATGTAGGACATTCCCTTCATTGCAGAAAGTTCTGTCTGACAGCACTAAACTGTTGAGGGCCTTCTGGCTCCACAAAGAATTTTCTCAGGGTCTTCTGTGACATCTGGGTTCCAGATCTTGGCCTGGCCACCTACTAGCTTTGCGTCCTTAGAAAGGCCACCTGAACTCTATGAGACTTAGCTTCCCCATGTCTTAAAACTGAAAAGGAAGTACCTTTGAGTGCCGTGCAGGAAGAGTTAACACACCAGGCCTGAGACCGCTGTCCTTAGAAAGGCCTGCTTGCAGGGGTGGCCCCCGGCTGGCACCTGGGAACCTGGATTTGGGAAGGGGTCCCACCATTCCCTCAGGATGACTCATGCGCCTAAGCTGTTTGTGCAAACAATGTGGTTTATGAATATCTGCTTTTTCTCTGTGATTCTGGCATTTGGGTATGTGCCACACAGATGGTGTCTGCACGAGTGCCCCCCCCCTTAAAACCTTGGGGACTGAGTCTCTCCATAGTGAGCTCCCTGGCTGGCAACATTTCCCATGCCACACAATTCAATGCTGGAGGAATTAAGTGTGTCCCGTGTGACTCCACCAGGAGAGGACTCTGGGAAGGAAGCCCACCCGACTTCCTATAGTTTTGTCCCATGCGCTCCTTCCCTCTGCTGGTTTTGCTTTTGCTGGACTAGATGAGAGCTGTGTGTACAACTACAGACCAAGTTCCGTGAGTCCTCCCAGCACATCCTCGACCCTGAGGGTGGTCCCGGGGACTCTGCCACACGTGCCATGCTGGATGGAGTCAAGTCACTAACATCACACTCCCCGAGATAGGTTTTATCACCTACAGTTCAGTTTCTACCATCTATCCCAGGACCTACTCCCAGAGTTACTGTCAGAAGTAATCTAGATCACATGCGCAAAACACTAAGCACGGTGCTGGTCTGAGGAGGTGCTAACAACAGTTCATGATCGTCATCCTTGCCTCAACGTGAGCGGCTGAGGTCAGCGGCAGCACATTTACACCTTCACGAACTGCCTATCTACCACATCCTTGTATAAGATTGCCCTCTCCTTTGCCTTTTCTCAGTCTAAAAATTAATAAGGGAACAAGAACAAGAATATGGCAGCAACATAATTAACAGAGGATCTATACCTCGTGTTCACTCACTCTTGGGAACATTCTAACCAAGTCCACTTATTAAAAAGCAGAGAAAAACTGGGATTCAGATCTAACTGTCTCCTTTTCTCCAGCAGTTCCGTTGGCCCTGGAAAGTGTTGCCTGCAGCTGAAATACCACCAGGAGGCTGAGTTTAGGGAACTGACTGAGGGACAGCAGGGGACACCAGACCTGGACCATTTTGAGTTTCCATTTAAGATTTCACTTCTCCTCATCCCTCACACTGGGGCTTAACCACCTTGGAATCCTGAAGCGAGGAAGACCAGGTCATCTTTTGTGGGGGCTGCTGACATGGCCCCGCCCCTGGAGATTCAACCCGGTAGTTCTGGGGAGGGGCCTGGGTCTCTCAAGTGGATTGCTGGCTGACCACAGCTGCCCTAAGGAGCCTGCTGCTAGGCCTGCTGTCAGGAGGCAGGTCCCAGGCCCAGCTTTACCCTTCGCTGCTTTACCTCTCTAACCCTCACATTCCTTTGCTGGAAAACAGTTTGCAAGGATCACTGCTGCCCTACCTCTTCATCGGCCAGTCATGCTGGTGGAATGAAACGATGGGTGGAAACTGCACAGAAGGCTACGGGAGTGTGTCTGTGACTAAGTGCGATTATAAGCCGCTTCCTCGCCTGCCCTGAGCAAGCAGCCTAATGTGCCCTGTGTCTCTGTGTTGTAACCGCTCTGCTTCTCAGCACGGCGTAGGCTAAGCACACCCACCCTGCCGGGATTCCGTGGAAGCCTGCCCCCCTCCCGCCCAGCACTTGTATTTTTGGTCAGTTCCCTTCTAGCAGGATGAACCGCAGGTACCTTGAACTTGAGTTCTTCCCTTAGGAGAGAACAGGACTGGTTATGGGCAGGGCTGTGTCCCCAACTGCTCCTCTGATCTCACCATGCCTCCTGGAAAACGGTGTTTTCAAGATTCATAAGGGCTTGAGGTCAAGTTTTACTTTAAAACCTCGGAATTGCTTATAGTTCAAGGAATTATACAATAAATCTGGAAGGGACCTTGGAATTTTTTAGGCCAGACTAAGGCCCAGAGAGGTGAAGTGATTTGTCTCAAATCATAGCTCCATAATAATACCATAGATAGAATGAGCGTCTAGCTTCCCGAAGTCTGCACCAGCCCTCTTGTTTTATTAGGTTAAGCTGCAATTCTGTCTTACTGTCCGACAGGCACATTGTGGAGAAGTAAACATAAATCCCCAGTAAATCCCAGAGGCCAGCAGGTGAAGGGATGAGAAACACATTGGTCAAACTGGTCAGTCTGGGTCCCTGCCCGTCCCTGCCAATCAAGTTCCCAGCATTTCCCCTCTCATCCTGTTGCTCCCTCTGTCTGTGATGCTCCTCCCACAGATATCTGAATGGCCTGCTCCCTCCCCTCATTCAACTGAGGAATTCTGAGTTGGCAAAACCCCTCTATCCTGGCTTCCGTATTTCCCTATTTCTGCAGGAAGCTCTTACAAGAGAGCCTTCATGAATCATAAGAAGGGAGACACTGAGGTCAGAGATGACCTATAGGAAATACTGATGAGTTGTGGGACCTTTGGCAAGTCATTTCCCTTCTCTGGGCCTCCATCTAAAATGAGGGGCTGGGGGCGCCTGGGTGGCTCAGTTGGGTAAGTGTCTGACTTCAGCTCTGGTCATGCTCTCAGGGTTCTGGGATCAAGCCCCACACAGGGCTTTGTGCTCAGTGGGGAGTCTGTTTCTCGCTCTCTCCCTCCTCTGTCCCTCCCCGCCATTCATGCTTATGCTCTCTCTCTCTCTCAAATAAATAAATAAATTCTCTCTCCAGAGAAACGATCCTTGAGGAGTGAAGGGGCAATCAAGACATTCTCAGAGGAAGGGAAACTAAGAGAATTTATCACCAGCGGACCTCCTTTAGAAAATGGTTAAAGGAAGTTCTTCAAAATGAAAGGAAATGATAAAAGAAGAAATCTTGGAATATCAAAAAACAAAAACAGAGCAGTGGAAAGAGTAAGCATCTGGGGAAATACAGCAGACTTAGCTCCTCCTCTTGAGTTTTCTAAATAGTTTGATGGTTGAAACAAAAATTGTAACACTGACATGATTCTCATTGCGTAAGAAAAATACGCTGGCTATGCTTGCTTGCTTTCCTTCTTTCTTTCTTTCTTAAGTAACTCTAACCCCAAGGTGGGTTTGAATTCACGACCCCAAGATCAAGAGTCACATGTTCTTCCAAGTGAGCCAGCCAGGCACCCCACTTGGCTCTATTTTTTTTTTAAATTTTATTTATTTGCCAGAGAGAGAGAGATCACAAGTAGGCAGAGAGGCAGGCAGAGAGTGAGGGAGAAGCAGGCTCCCCGCTGAGCAGAGAGCCCGATGCGGGGCTCGATCCCAGGACCCCGAGATCACGACCCAAGCCGAAGGCAGACGCTTAACCCACTGAGCCACCCAGGCGCCCCTTGGCTCTACTTTCTTAAGCCCGTGAGCTCAAGATTCTACATCCAGGGGGTGCCTGGGTGGCTCAGTGGGTTAAGCCTCTGCCTTCGGCTCAGGTCATGATCCCGGGGTCCTGGGATCGAGCCCCGCACTGGGCTCTCTGCTCAGCGGGGAGCCTGCTTCCTCCCCTCTCTCTCTGCCTACTTGTGATCTCTCCTTGTCAAATAAATAAATAAAATCTTTAAAAAAAAATTATACATCCAGAATCTGACCACTTCACACCACCTCCTCTGAAAATACCCATCATCTCTGACTTGATTATAAAAGCCCTCACTATAGACTATTCTCAACCTAGCAGCTGATAGGATACATTTAAAAAGTTAGATTGGATCACGTATTCCAGGCTGCGAAAACCCTCACTTTATTTGGAGTAAAATCGAAAGTCCTTACCACAGCCTACCAGGCCCTCTGCCATCTGTTCTCTGTTCGCCGTAGGACCTCCCTTCCGACTGCTCTCCTGGGCTCCTTCTGTTCCAGCTGGTTCCCTGCTACCCCTTCACATGCCAGACATGATCCTTCCTCAGGAGCTTTGCTCTAGTGCTCCCTCTGCGTGGAATGTTCTCCCCCAAACACCAACTGGGCCAACACCTTCACCTCCTTCAAGGTCTGGTTTAATTCCCACCCTCTAGTGAGAGTTAGCCTGAGCACCCTATAAAATACTCCCCACAGAGGCGCCTGGGTGGCTTAGTCAGTTAAGCGTCTGCCTTCGGCTCAGGTCATGATCCCAGAACCCTGGGATTCAGTCCTGTGTGGCACTCCCGGTTCAGCAGGGAGCCTGCTCTCCTTCTCCCTCTGTCTGCTGTTCCCCCTGCTTGTGCTCTCTCTCAAATAAATAAATGAAATCTTTAAAAAACGTACTCCCCATATTTTCCTAACCTACTTGTTTTTTCTCCTTAGTGCTTGCCACCTTTGAACATATTCTATCATTTATTTATGTGTTGGGCTCGCTGCCCTGTCATCTCTACTAGAAGGATCTTTGTTCACAGATGTGTCCCAAGCACTAAGCACAGTAACAAGCATAGGGAAGACTGAAGAGAAGTTTATTTACTGGATAAATTCCAGGTCCCATGAATGTGGCATAGGTGAATGGCAGGGAACAGGTCAGATTTGTTTTCTAAAATGGTGGGACTGTCACCTTTTACTACCTGGGAAAACCATTAAACCCAACCCCAGAGAAGGCTTGGACAGACCGAAGGCTACAGAAGCCACATCTGGTCTGTCAGTAAGACCATGTGTCCCTTGCCCCTCATAGGTAGATCTCCTCCTCTGGGGCACAAATAAGCTGACTCTCCTCCTTCAGAGTTAAGAAAACCTACTGCTGCTCAAGGGATGTCCTCAGGGATGACAGTGAGTTGACACATTAACATCACAGCTGTGCCTAGTGCTCTAATACACATCTCATTTAATCTTTCTAATTGTCCAGCTGAAGTGTCCCTGATTTCCATTCTACAGATGAAAAAAACCAAGGCTTTGAGGAGTTGGAAGCACTTGCCTGAGACACACACTGAGTGGTGGAGCTCAGATTCTAGCACAGGTCAGGCTAGTGGGGGAAACCTGGTCCTGGCTTGCGTCAGTTGTCCTGAGAGCCCTGAGCAATTAGAGACAGCCCCCCTGTGAGGTTCTCCTGGTTGTTCAAGAGCATTCTGTACCAACAATGGCTCCACAGCCCTCTTCTCTAGCTGCCCAGCAAAGCCCCACCTGGATATGGTGACGAGATAGGCGGAAAATCTCCTGGGCCATCAGCAAGGTCTTGGAGTCCATCACCAGGTACAGCAGGTGTAGGAGGGCAAGGAAGCCTGCTCCTCTCAGGTCTGTGGCTGGATTCGCTCCTGTAACCGAGAGGAGGAACTGAAGGGCGACCCAATGCCAAATGAAGTCCCACCTCCCTTGAGCTTCAAGGGCTTGGCTACCTTTGTTAGGCCAAGTGGGGAGCCTGGACTCCCACCCCTGCCTGACTGTAACAAGGTGCCCCTTAGCTTCACTAGGGTAGTGTCAGCAAACTGGGGAGCTGGGACTGAGCCCCATACCTCTGTGTCGTCAGTGGAGTCCACACAGGACTCCTGTAATGAGTCATGTAATGAAGCACCTGTGCCCCTCTTAGCCAGTGGAACCAGCAGAGCCCAAATGGGGTACCTAAATTTCTACCCCTGCCCCGCAGTAATGAGTGACATCCTCCTTCCCCCACTGGCTCAGTGTCAGAAGAAGCCTGCTAAAATAAAAGATTTACAGCAGATCCAAAGTGTCATTATATAATACCCCAAATATCCAGGATACAATAAAAAAAAATCACTTGTTACATTAAGAACTAGGAAAATCTTAATTTGAATGAGAAAGATACTTAATAGATAGCAACACTGAGATAACACAGCTGTTGGAATTACCTGACAAGGATTTTAAAGCAGCAGTTACAGGCAAAATAATGGTCCCTCCAAAGACATCCTTGCCCGAATGCCTAGAACCCAGGAGTATATTTTGTTGCATGGCAAGGGGAAACTAAGATCATAGGCAGAATTAAGGTTGCAGATCAGCAGATAGGGAGATTATCCTGGATTCTCTGGGTGGTCCCATTGTAATCAGAAAAGTCCTTAAAAGTGAGAGAAGGAGACAGAAGCACAGAATCAGGGAAAGAGATGTGAGGAGAGAACCAGGCTCAGGGAGATGCTAAGTTCCTGGCTGTGAAGGAGGAGTGGAGGTGGCCTCTAGAAGGTGGAAAAGGCCGGGAAACGGAGTCTTTCCTAAAGTCTCCAGAAAGGAATGCAGCCCTGCAGCCACAGCGATCTTACCCCAGTGAGACCTGTTTCGGACTCCTGAGCTACAGAGCTATAAGGTAATAAGTTTGTGTGGTGAGGGGCTGGCTGGCTCCATAGGAAGAGCGTGGGACTCGTGATCTCGGAGTTGTGAGCTTGAGCCCCATGCTGGGTGTAGAGAGTACTTAAATAAATTAATTAATTTTAATAAGTTTATGTAGTTTCAAGCTACTAAATTTGTGGTAATTTGTTATAGCAACAATAGAAAACTACTATAGCAGTCATCACAAAAATGCCTTCAATAAATAATTACACAGTTTGAAAAAAATTTAAAAAGTAGAAAGTATCAGTAAAGAATTATTAGGTATAAAGAACCAAACAAAAAAAACCTTACAACTGAAAAATATAACTAAAATTAAAAACTCAGGGGCGCCTGGGTGGCTCAGTGGGTTAAAGTCTCTGCCTTCGGCTCAGGTCATGATCTCAGGTCCTGGGATCGAGCCCCGCACTGGGCTCTCTGCTCAGCAAGGAGCCTGCTTCCCTTCCTCTCTCTCTGCCTGCCTCTCTGCCTACTTGTGATCTCTCTGTCAAATAAATAAATAAATAAAAATCTTTAAAATTAAAAACTCACTTGATGGGCTCAACAGCAGAATAGAGAGAACAGAGGAAAGAATCGGTGAAATTGAAGATGGAACAATTGAAATTATCCAGTCTGATGAACATCAGAGAGAAACAAAGCAAAACAAAACAAAACAAAATAAGCAGAGCCTTGGAGATCTGTGAGTTACAGAACAGAGATCCAAAGGAATGTACAGCACAGAAGAACTAGCACCTGTGTCATCAGAGTCCCACAAGAGAAGAGAAAGTATGGGGCTGAGAAAAGTACTTGAAGTATTCATTCATGTGGAATTTAAGAAACAAAACAAATGAACAAAGGAAAAAAAAAAGAGGCAAACAAAAGAACAGATTCTTAAGTAGAGAACAGATGGTTACCAGAGTGGAGATGGGCGAGGGGATGGGGGAGTAGGTGAAGGGCTGAGAGTACACTTATCTTGATGAGTACTAGGTGTTGTATGGAATTGTCGGATCACTGTATTGTTCGCCTGAAACTAATATAACATTGTATGTGAATTTCACTGAAATTAAGGAAAAAAGGTACTTGAAGTAATAATGGCTGAAAATGGACCATATTTGGCAAAAGACATAAACCTATAGGTTCAAGAAGCTGAGCAAACCCAATAGGGTAAAAGCCCAAAGAAATCCACACTAAGACACAACATAAACTCCTGCAAACTTGAAAAGATCCTGAAAGCAGAGAGAAACAACTCCTTACCTCTCAGGGAGAAAGAATTCAAATGACAGTAGCTTTCTCATGGAGGCCAGAAGCAAAAAGCACAGTGTACAAGTGCTACAAGAAAAGAATTGTCAGCCTGGAATTCTTTGTCCAGAGAAACGATCCTTGAGGAGTGAAGGGGCAATCACAAGACACTCTCAGAGGAAGGGAAACTAAGAGAATTTATCACCAGCAGACCTCCTTTAGAAAATGGTTAAAGGAAGTTCTTCAAAATGAAAGGAAATGATAAAAGAAGAAATCTTGGAATATCTAAAAACAAAAACAGCAGTGGAAAGAGTAAGCATCTGGGGAAATACAGCAGACTTAGCTCCTCCTCTTGAGTTTTCTAAGTTGTTTGATGGTTGAAACAAAAATTGTAACACTGACATCATTCTCATTGCATATGGAGGGAAATAATATAATTGTATTATAGATGAGGGAAGAGAGAGGGATTTTAACGTGTTAATATCAACAGACCTATTAGTGCTCGCTTCGGCAGCACATATACCAACAGACCAATTAATTATGGGTACATAAAATTTCCTTTTTAAGTGAGGACATTTTCTGGGGCACCTGGGTGGCTCAGTGGGTTAAAGCCTCTGCTTTTGGCTCAGGTCATGATCCCAGGGTCCCGGGACTGAGCCCCGCATCGCATCATGCTCTCTGCTCAGCGGGGAGCCTGCTTCCCTCCAGCCCTGCCTGCCTTTCTGCCTACTTGTGATCTCTGTCAAATAAATAAATAAAATCTTAAAAAAAAAAAAAAAAGAAAAGAAAGGAAAGGCAAAAGGCAAGCTGGAGCCTTATTAAAAAAAAATAAATGAGAACATTTTCCTATTCCATATAAATGTAACTTGATATGATTTTCAAAAAAGAGTAGCATAATCCAAAAAAACAGCTGAAATCAATTTGTTTCACTCAAAAAATAAAATAGTATAAAGCAAAATTTTCATCTGTGTTAAAAGGAAAGAGGAAAGAGAAGAAACCAGACTGCAAATCCAACACTTTGATGCTTTCCATCTCTCTTAGAGTAAATGTCTGACAATGGCCTGTTAGACCACAAGGGACCTTTCCTCTTCAGCCACACTTCTTACTATTTCTCAAGCGTGGTAAACATGCTCACCTCGGGCCTTTGCATTCCTGCACCCTCTTCCCCCAGATACCCTGCCTCAGGGTGCTGGCATGACAGGAAGGGGACTATCTGGGCTCTCACTCTAGTTCTGGATTCAGGGGTCAAGGAAAAGAAGATGAACCATTCCTGTCTCTTACCCTGAAAGCCCAGATCTTCCCAGTGGTCTCCGTGGAGGGCGCAGTCAAACTTGGAGCCAGTCAGCTTCTTGTAGATGGTCTGGAGGACTCGGCCATGCATTGGGTCCTGACTATCCAGGCCACCTGCCCGAAAACACACCCCCAGTCTTTGTCGGACTGCCCGGCCTCAGGAGAGGACTATTTCTCAGAGAACGGCTCAGATAAGATCGAGCTGGACTGTACCAAGAGACTGTGTTCTCCCACGTTTCCACCGCACAGCTCCCGCTCTCCCTGCCGACATGGTGCATGCAAGACCTCAGCAACAGGTGTACAAACAGTGCTCTCTGCTTGACCACATACGCAGCCCCCACTCGAGGCAGCACCCGTGCACTCACACTGAGCAATGGTCAGGACCAAGTCCCTTTCTTCTCGGAGGCCCTGGTGGAGTTTTGGAGGCCCAAAAAGGCAGTGCCGGATGGCAGCGAGCCCCGTCCTTCGAATAGTTGGCTGGATTCTTTTCTGGGGAGGAAGTTGCAGGCAATGAGCGAAGGGCTGGGTTCACCTGCTCTAACTTACCATCAGGATCGGTACAGGGACTGTTCTTGTAGAAGAAAGTAGCTTCCTCAACTAACTGGCTAGTCTCTGGGCCAGGGAAACGGGGTAAGAGCTATGAAGCACAGGCTCTATCTCCAGAGACAGGCTCTGCTGGCTCCCAGGATTTTTATTAGTAGAAAAGAGATGTCCCTGGGCCACCTGGTGACTCCATTGGTTAAGTGTCTGCCTTTGGCTCAGGTCATGATCTTGGGATCCCGGGATGGAGCCCTGTGTCTGGCTCCCTACTCAGCGGGGAGCCTGCTTCTCCCTCTTCCTCTGCCCCTCACCTTGCTCCTGCTCTCTAATAAATAAATAAAATCTTAAAGAAAAGAGAAATAAAAGAAAAGAAATGTCCCCAAGTATAGGCATTATTAGCCCATTGTCTGCATTTGTTCTTTTGGGTTTGTCTAGAGCTACTATTCCATTGACGGCCAGAGATAGCTGGCACGGGGACCCCGCTTTGGTCTGACCAAGCCAGGCCAGGCTTCCCAGCAGGGCTGCTTTACCTTCTATAGGTCCATCTCTTTCTGCAAAGGGCATAAATTACACAGCCTAGCAGTCCTCTCAACTTCCAGGACCAGGGAGCCAGGGAGGAGGGGAGTCTAGTGGGGACTTTTGGAGCTGGATACCTGAGGGATTGCTGGAGCATTCTGTCCATTCCACAGGGGCACTTCCTAAATCAGGTCATGCTGACTTATTGCTCAAGGGCCACTGCTACAGGCCTTAGAATATTCTGATTTTGGTAGCTTCTGACCCTCTGCAACCCATGAACCAATGATTCTTGACTTTTCAGCCTCTCTTGAAACTCTGAGGTTTTAGGTTGAAGATCTGAAACCAGAATCTTCTTCTTTTTAAAAACATTTTATTTATTTATTTATTTGAGAGAAACAGAGATAGAGAGAGCATGAGCGGGAAGGAGAGGGAGAAGCAGACTCCCCGCTGAGCAAGGAGCCCCATGCGGGGCTTGATCCCAGGACTCTGGAATCACGACCTGAGCCGAAGGCAGACACTTAACCAACTGAGCCATCCAGGTGCCCCTGAAATCACAATCTTTTTTTTTTTTTTTTTTAAGATTTTATTTACCTGACAGACAGAGATCATAATCAGGCAGAGAGGCAGGCAGAGAGAGAGGAAGGGAAGCAGGCTCCCCGCCGAGCAGAGAGCCTGACGCGGGGCTCGATCCCAGGACCCCGGGATCATGACCTGAGCCGAAGGCAGAGGCTTTAACCCACTGAGCCCACCCAGGTGCCCCTGAAATCACAATCTTCTAAAACTACTCTTAGTCACTCAAGATGCCCCAGAAAGCCAATCAGCTTTTATTTTCCTCAATGTTTCTTTTTCCAACCCCACATATTTTTAAAATTCCCAAATAACTTCTGGCTCCCTGATACGTTCAGGGAATGATAGATTTTCCTACAATAGTCATGAATTACTCAGCTTCCTAGATGGCATGACTTGCTTCCCTAAGGAACTATCTAACATTTGATTCTAGACCTCCCCATCCCTAAGAGGGAAGAGCAGGGAGCAGCTACATAGACCTGTGTACAGCATGGCCACAAGAGCTCTGGGCACACAGTCCCAAAAAGGCCACTGGGGTCCTGCATGAAGCTTGGGTCCTTGGCCACCCCTGATTCTGTGCTCCAAGATTTCTTAGGTGAGGTAGGGTCCTCAGCTGGAAGTTTCCATCTTGCTTGCCCAGTGCCCTAGGTTGGTGGGATAGAAACCTGGCTCCTGGGAAGATGCTTTGCCTGAGACCCCAAACTCCCTACTTTCATACCTTGAAGGAAGAGAGGTCCACAGTCTGGAAATGCTGCAGAGCCTCACTGAAGGAGATCAGCTGCCCAGGCTGGTCTACACTGGCCTGGTTCCCTGTGGCAAAAGGGAAGACACTCTCAGATTTATAATGGTAGTCATTCTGTCTGAGCACGTTCACTGGGGCCTTCTGATCATCACCTCTAAGCCAAACACTGGCTTTCAGGGGCAGACATCAGATAACTACAGCTAAAACCGATCTTCTGTTAAGGGGCTGGCATTCTCTGCTGGGCCAGGTCCCTTCTTAGACCAGGCTGTTCGGGAGCTTGGTAGACCGACCTCTGCAGTGAGTAGGGACAGATCTGCCCTGCAGGGGGTCCCAGTCCACTCATCTGTGAGGAGGCAAGTCACTGCCCGGAGTAGGTACCCACGGAGGAGCATGCCAAGGTCTGTTTCGGGAACTTTCTTCGCTTCCATTTTGCCCTTTCTCACACCCTGTATATGAATGACCCCCTCTCCAGCCTCTGGTACAGTCCACAGGGAATGAACATATCCATTAGCAATGTCGGGGATGACTGACACAGTCCACTGTAACGACTTTCTAGGAGCCCAAGTATAGCTCGAGCTAGATATGGGTCCGAGCTCTACCCTCCTGCAGCTCCGTCCAAACCTGTCAGAACACAAAGTGAAACAATTTTTACCCAGCCCTCAAAGCCTTCCAGCAGATGGCTTTAGTCCCTATCTCCAGAGACCTCCTTGTATAGTGAACAACCCGCTCACCCTTGGGCCGGGACCCTGGCTGCCTGCCTCCATCCTTCTGTCCAACCTCATCACCCTGCAGAAGCGACCCTGACCAAGGTACTCCCTGTCTTCTCTCAGGTCTGAGTAGATGGCAGCCCTTTTCCCGTGGCATTCACTCCCATTTCCTCCAGAGGTGGAATGTCATGATCTTTGGATTAGAAAGGTACTGTATCCTGAGTCAGGGAGCTAAAATGGGAACTCTCAGGAATTCTGTGTCCTAACCCCAGGGCCACAGAAACGCTAGCCACACGTGGATGGGGCCTTTATTAGCAGTGGAACGCCATTCCTATGGTTACCTGACTCTGTCTGGATGTTGTCCACAGCTTCCCATTCTTCTTGGGCTCTGAGCACCTCCGCATTCACAACTGCAGTCAAGAGAAAAGGAGACCCTCTGAGACCTGGGAAAGTCTGGATCGCTGCTGCAGCCTCAGCCTTGTCCATTGGGTCCCAGTGCCCTCAGATACCCTCTCCACACGGGGGCCAGAGTGAGCGTTTGAAAAGGCAGATCTGATGTCAACCCCCTGCTTGAAAACCTCCAGGGGTTCTCCATCATGACTCTCTAGATAAAACCCAAACTCTTCAGCACAGCATCTAAATACTCCCACCATTTGGATATTTCTTCCACCCACAGCTGTGTGCTAAGGGTATCCAGAACTCCCCAACTTCCTCAGCCCCTCCCACCTTCAGTGCCCTTGCTCAGACGGCTCTCCCCCTGCAATCACCCCAGGCACGTGCACCCCAGGTCCCAACCCTTGTGCTGTTTGTTGTTCCTCCTCAACCCTCAGTGAACTCGGACATCTCCCTCAGCCAGCCACCTGGCCTGACTCCATTAAGTCTGCAGAGGGAGCCCGTGAGCCTCTTCGAGCCCCTGACACCCAGGCTCCTCAGTGTGGTGTCTGTCTCTCCCACCACACCGGGCGCTACACGAGGACAGCATTTTCCAGAACCCAGGGCAGTGCCCTGCACAGGACAGGGGTTCAACAAATGTCTGCTGAATGAATAAAAGCACCAGGAATGGTGGGGAAAGCAGGAGAGAAAAAGCAGCAGAACAGGTTCTCTGTAGTCACCGCACAGCCCTTTCTCCAAAATGCAACTGTCACTCTAACCCAGACTGCTGCCATGTGTCCTGTTGTGGCTTTCCCCATTTGCTAGACAGGAAGTCAATACAACATGGAGAAAATGGAAACCCTTCAGTCCAAGGCCTCAAATTATGACCCCTTCAGCCTCTAGCCCCAGTGGTAAGAGTGAGAGGGCAGCTCCTTTTGGCCATGCCGTCTTGATGGAGGATATCACAGGGCAATGAACTGTTTCCAAAGTATACTTGAAAATAAAATAAAATACTCCCAGAAACTTAAAACACTAACAGAAATGGAGGCAGAGAAAGCTGCTGAGAGCAGTTCCAGAGCCAGACTGCTGGCAAGCACTTCCTGTCTGCACTCCCCGGCTGCACTTCTGTGGACAAGTACTTAACCCCTGGCCATCACTCCTGGACCTGCTGGAGGACGGTGCAACTCTTCAGCTTCCAGGGGTGGAGGAGCGGGTATACGATGCAAAGGTCAGTACTCAGGACATGTTAGCTCGTGTCACTGACACCAGCCTGGATTCAGGTCCAGCAGCGCAGGGGCTAGTGGCAGTGGGTGACATGGGTCTGGACTTCTGAATTCAGTCATGCAAGCCCCAACCTGGGGTGGACCGAGACCCTGAGCCTCAGGGCTTCCAAGGTAGGTAACTTCATCAGGATACAAACTATATGCAGAAAATAAAATTTCCTTCCAGCATACTGGACCCTGGATGATGAAAAGGAGGGAGAAAGCAGCTGAACAAAAAACAAAAACAAATTAAAGAAAACAAACAAAAACAAAAACAAAAAAAAAGAGAGAGAGGGGCAGCAGCAGGGACTGCTGGTGAGGGCGCTGACGAGGGCTGTGTCACCCCTCACCCTCGCTGGCGCCTGGCTTCACAGACTCTTCACCCTGCACATCTTTGTTTCAAGCAACTTGGTCAAAAAAAATTTTTTTTTTAAGATTTTATTTATTTGAGAGAGAGAGAGAGAGCATGAGTGGGGGGAGGGGGAGAGAGAGAGAGAGAGAGAGAGAGAGAGAGAGAGAAGCAGGCTCCCTGCTGAGCACAGAGTCCCTTGCAGGACTTGATCCCAGGACCCTGAGATTATGACCTGAGCTGAAGTCAGATGTCTAACCGAATGAGCCACTCAAGTGCCCCTCTTTTATTTGTTAAAGATTTACTTGTTTATTAGAGAGAAAGAATGAGAGCCCGAGCAGGGGGAGAAGCAGAGGGGGAGAGAGAGGAATTTCAAGCAGACGCCCCACTGAGTGCAAAGCCCGAAGAGGGGCTCTATCTCATGACCCTGAGATCATGACCTGGGCCAAAATCAAGAGCTGGCCACTTAACTGACTGAGCCAGCCAGATGCCCTTCAACCTTTCACCTACAAACAACTTGGCAGAAGGCTGTGAGCTCAGAGCAGAAACCTCACCAGCACCAGGGAATCTGCTGTAACTGTGGTTTAGTTGACAGAAAGTGCAAGGTCTCAACAAGGAGTTGCAATCTAGTGTCTAAAAACTGGAGACAAATGTCCAAGGCATAGCAAGAGCACCTCTTCCCTTCCCTCTTGGAACCAGGGAGACTCTTCTTCATCTGAAGATGATCCTAACATAAATACTAATTTCCCCCAACAGAAAAAAATCGAGGCAAAACATGAATCTTCAGGATAGCGAATGCAGCTCACATCAGCACAGTTCTCTACTTTTCTTCCTTTTTCAATTGCCTTCTTGATTTGGGCTCTCTTCTACTTATCCATACAGGAAACAGTATCACTGAGTTAGCAAGGCTCTCCATCTATCTACCTACCTACCTACCTACCTATTTATTTTATTTTTAAACATTTATTTATTTTGGGGGAAGAGGGAAAGACAGTCTTAAGCAGACCTCTGTACAGAGCACAGAGCCCAACGTGGGCCAGATCTCATGACCCTGAGATCACAACCTGAGTGGAAACCAAGAGTCCAACGCTCAACCCACTGTGCCATCCAGGAGCCCCATTTATTTTTTTATTTTTAAAGATTTTATTTATTTATTTGATAGAGAGAGAGAGAGGGAGACCTCAAGTGGTGGTGGGGAGAGATGCAGAGAGAGAAGCAGACTCCCCGTGGAGCCGGGAACCTGGCACAGGGCTCGATCCCAGAACCCTGAGATCCTGACCTGAGCCAAAGGCAGGTGATTAACTGACCAAGCCACCCAGGTGCCCATTTTAAAGATTTATTTTTCTGAAGTAATCTCCAACATGGTGCTCGAACTCCCAACCCAAGATCAAGAGTTGTATGCTCCACCAATTGAGCCAGCCAGGTGCCTCATAAGCCTATCAATTTAAATGAGCTGAGAGCAATCTGGAAGAAAACTGCATTTTTTTTTTTTTAAAGATTTTATTTATCCGTTTGACAGTGAGAAAACACAAGCAGGGGGAGTGGCAGAGGGAGAGAGGGAAAAGCAAGCTCCCCTCTGAGCAGGGAGTCCGACACGGGGGCCTGATCCCAGGACTCTAGGATCATGACCCAAGCCGAAGGCAGATGCTTAACGACTGAGCCACCCAGGTGCCTCGAAGACTGATGTTTAATACAACTAAAAATATGTGGGACAGGGGGGCCTCGAGTCTGATTTCAGCGCAGGTCGTGCTCTCAGGGTTGTGAGATCCAGTTCTCCACGGGCTCAGCAAGTGCTTATCTTAGAGTCTGCTAGAGACTCTCCTCCCCGTGCCCGTTCACCATGCTTGCTCGTGCACACGCTCTCTCTCTCAAATAAGTAAAAAATCTTTAAAAAATACCTGGTACACAAATGCTACTTGTACTGAAATATAAAATATTTTGGCATTTAAGGCAAAATCTCTAATAAATGTTAGGTTTGTCACTACACAGCAAAGATAAAATTTCATTAGAAGAAACTTCATATGGGGCACCTGGTGGCTCAGATGTTAAGTGTCTATCTTCGGCTCAGGTCATGATCCCAGGATCCTGAGATCGGGCCACATCGGGCTCTCTGCTAGGCGCGAAGCCTGCTTCCCCCCCTCCCATTCCCCCTGCTTGTGTTCCCTCTCTCGCTGTGTCTCTTTCTGTCAAATTAATTAATTAATTAATTAAAAAAAAGATTTAAGAAGAAACTTCATAGATCTCCAGATAACTTTTCTACAAGCCCCATATTCGTAGAGATTACATTTTCAGTTTATAGAACTTCAAGATAATAATACATAGCACGGGTGTCACTACAGATTTACAGTCTGTGCACTACATACTTCACCTTAGCTCATGTAATCCTTATGCAATTCCCATCACTCAGGTTCTGACCAATTTGTTTTATAGATGAACTAAGTGCAGTAAAGGTTAGAAGGTTAAGAAACTTGCTCAGGGTCCTATAGTTGGTGGGTGAGAGAGGCAGGACTTAAACCAGAGATGTGGGACTCCAGAACTGGTTATTTCTCACCTAGTGAGTGGACCTTTCTGTGTCATAAATCAGCAAGTGAAATGAGCTTTAAATAGAGTATATGAAAGAATCATGTAAAGCAGATAAAATAGGATACTTTTTCAAAGCCTCTTCACATACACTCTCATTTCATTGTTACAATATCTCTCTGGGGACAGAGAAGGCACTGATGTCTTCACGGCAGACATCTGATTTGCCCAAGGCACATAATAAGCTGCTTGCAGCGCTAAATCAGGACTCGAATCTTTTGACTTCTAATCCAGTGTTGATTCTAATTTTCCTTGAAGAATGATAAATTTGTCAAATTCTATAGGACATGTAGTGAGAGAAATTCCAATGATGAAAAGCAGACCATGGGGAGCTCTGGCTTGGGCCCACCCAGGCTCCAAGGGCCCTGAAGGGGACCTTACCACCTGGCTGCCATCCGTTGGCTTCTGCTGTCAGGGCCCGGAGGATGCCATGGTTCTTCAACTCTGAGATCTGCAGGGGCAGATGACCTTCGGTGTGAGAGTGAGTCCATACCCTCCCACGCACACAAACGTACCCGACCCGCGGTACAGAATGTCCTTGGAACTGGAGGTCAGAAGGATGGCTTGATTAAAGCCAATCTTAAAGAAAGACACATGGAAAACTCCCAACTCTGATGTACAAGTTGTGTGACCTGGAGACAAGCATATGCTCTCCTTAAAGAATAAACAAAAATTCACACAACTCAATTGAGACTGTGAGGTGCCTTTGGTATTCCCACTGCACTTTACATTCTGCTTCCCTGGAGCAATTATCTTACTAGCTAGAGGTTGTTTTGCATGTTTGTGGCCCACAACTCCACCCCCAAGTGTGATTGGGGTCTCTGCTGTCCGTCCTGAGTCCCTGGTATCTGGCCCCACAGAGCAGCATGCAAAAAAAGCTGGTATGGGCGGGAAGTCCTGGGGTGTGGGTGACACATACAGGAATTCCTCTGAGAGCCCGAAGAACACCGGTGTCCTTGTCATATGGTGAAGGATACGCAGCACACACACTTTCAACCTGTAAGACAAAGAAGGGTTAGCTTCTTGGGAACGTATCAGTCCTCTGAAGCTGACAGCTTAAATGTCACACCTTTTCCCAATACCACCCACACAAAGACAGATCAACTCCTGAGAACTCAACTGTAAGGAATCCTGGAAGGGAAAACTTCTGCTTAACCTCGTCTTAAGAAAAACTACAAAAGGCTTAATGTTATAGCAGATTTCTTGGCTCTGTGAAAGGTCTCAGGATCCTGAGTTTAGTGAAGCAGTTTCCTTACTTTTGGCCTTTTTGTTCAGCTAAACCTTTGCCCAGTAGACCTTAAAAAAACCACCTGACCAGGGTGCCTGGGTGGCTCAGTGGGTTAAAGCCTCTGCCTTCAGTTCGGGTCATGATCTCAGGGTCCTGGGATCAAGCCTGGCATCGGGCTCTCTGCTCAGTGGGGAGCCTGCTTCCCCCTCTCTCTGCCTGCCTCTCTGCCTACTTGTGATCTCTCTCTGTAAATAAATAAATAAAATCTTAAAAAAAAAAAAAAACAACACTTGGCCAACTTCAAGAAAACAAACAAAACAAAACCACTTGACCAACTTCTGCAAGTCAGATTATCAAATACAGAACGAATTTTCCCAATATGTTGAAAAAAATCCTATAAATCAGTTAGGAAAAGAAACCCAACCCAGTAGAAAAATGGGCATGGATATGGACAGCTTACAGAAGAGGAAACTCGCACTGCTCTGAAACAAACACAAAATGCTCAACCTTACGCCCTTACTCATAATAAGAGACATGTCATATAAAACTGGTCTGAGATAATATTTGTCACTTATCACATGAGCAAATTTCAAAAAGTGTGAAAACACACTGTGTTGGCTAGAAAGCCAAGTGTTTTAACACGCCAAAGTGTAAATTGTTCCCACCTCCACAGCTTGACCATACTTGACAAATCGTACATGCTTTGTCCATTTTGGGCCCATAACTGCATTCTAGGAATTTATCCAACAGATACACTCGTCTGTGTGCAAAAGGACATGCTTACAGCGTCATTTGTGGTAGCACTGTTTGTCATAGCAAAAAGCTAAAAAACCCGAATGCCCACTAATGGACTAATTCCACAAATAAAAGCATATCAACTCAAAAAAAAAAAAAAAAAAAAAAGCATATCAACTCAATGAGCTCCGATCTAGCCGTAAAGAAGAATAAGAAAGTGTTTTATGGACAACATGGAAGAATCCACATGATATATTAAGTGCAACAAGCAAAGGGCAGAGTATATACACTGTGTTACCATTTATATTTTTAGAAAACACACAACTATATTTGCTTGTCTCCGCCAAGACTATTTCCAGACTTAAACCCAAGGAAGCATGATTTTGCCTCCAGAAGAAAACTGGGTAGCTGGGGGACAAGAGGAGAAAGCAGTTTTTCACTATAGTACATGTTCCCTACTTTTTGGATTCTGAACATTGTGAATGCATTATTTTCTCTAGAATAAATAAGAGGAGGGGCGCCTGGGTGACTCAGTGGGTTAAGTATCTGCCTTCGGCTCAGTTCATGATACCAGGGTCCTGGTACAGTGTCCTCCATCGAGTTCCCGGCTCAGCGGGGAGCCTGCTTCTCCCGCTGCTGCTCCCACTGCTCGTGCTCTCACTTTCTCTTTCTGACAAATAAATAAATAAATCTTAAAAAATAAAAGGAAAAAAAATGAAAAGAAAATAACTTAACAAAAAAAATCAGTGCTATGTCAAGGCCCCAGAATCCCAAGGCCCCTGTTACTCTAATCCCTCTTACACATTTTTGCCAACTACTACTTCTTAAACAGAGCTGTGATTTCTTTGTGACCAGGACACAAGAATGGATGCCCGATCATAGAACAGCTGAGCAGACTCCTCTGTCGCTGGCCTCCTGATGCCTCCTCACGAGTATTTCCCACTTCAGTCCAGTGAACACACTTGCTGCAGCTCCTCTCACCTCCATCCCTTGGGTCATGTGGTTTTCCTCCAGAAGACACCCCTACTGCCACCTTTTCTGTGTCCTCCCGTCCCTTCAAGATCAGTTCTACCTCCTCAAGGTGGCCTGCCTCCCCTGCCCCCGACCCTGGGGCTACAAGGGTCTCTCCCCTTCCCCAGGGAGCACACGTTCCTCTGCAACAGGCCTAAGTGACAAGAAAACGGCTATTCAGATTTGCTTCCTACATGTTTGGAGTATGACAACCCTGCTCACAGCCAGAACCCAGACATTTAGATAAGCGCTCGAGTTTAGGATTCCTGCTATGAGTTCCTGCCTTGCTTTTCCTCGGGCACTTTTTAAAATAACCACTTAGTGTTGAGCCTGAGAAAAGCCAGTGACCTTCCCCCTGTAAGTAATAGGGGTCCTTGCTCCCCTACTTCCTATCTTCTTGCTCATGATCTGGGACTGAGGACTGTCCCTACCTTGGCTCACTGCCCCCTCCACACACTCACCCCTGCCACATTTCCGGATCTGTACATAATAAGTCCCGTGACTCCACTTCTTTTCTGTGAGTGTGCTGAAACTGCACAGTCAATCAAAACAGCCCTAGAGTTCTCACTTCCTCCAACACAGCCTATCTTTAAATCAGGCCCTGCGGCATTGAGTGGAAGAACGTTCTTTTACACTTCTTTTTTCTATTTCTGACACCCATTAGCACAGTACTGGGCACAAATGTGTTCTCAAAAATTCTGATGATTCACTATCCTGAACAACTCCTTGCAGAGGCCCGTGTGCTCAGGGTTCATTCCATCCTTCCTTTCCGTCTCCAATTCAGTCCCCTCCAGTGGCCAAAGACTTCTCTCTGGGAGAACAGTTCACTTTAGTACAGGGAAGAAAACCTCCCTAGACTCCCAAAGGAAAGGCTTTGTCCCACAAACTCCATTAAGACCACTTCTGGACCAGATAGGGAGAAAGGTAAGGAAGGGAGGGTTAGCTGCCAGGCTCACACAAAGACATATCACACGGGACTCAGAGTCTGAGGATAATCAAGCCAAAGCATGTGTTTGACAAGGGTCAATAAGGTAAACAGTCCAAATTGATAAATTACAAATAGCTTGGGGGGATTCCCTGTTGACATTCTCCTCTCACCCAAACAAATCTGAAACAAAATGCCATGACCCACTTAGAAAATAAGCTACAAGCAAAGAAAGCATATGACTCTTGATCTTGGGGTTGTGAGTTCGAGCCCCACACTGGGTGTAGAGATTACTTAAATGAATAAACTTAAAAAAAAAATAAGGTTGGTGGGGGGGAGCCTGTGTGGCTCAATCTGTTAAGCAGCTGCCTCTGGCTTGGGTCATGATTTCATAGTCCTGGGATCAAGCCCCAGGTCAGGCTCCCTGCTCAATGGCGAGTCCGCTTCTCCCTCTCCATCTGCCCCTCCCTGCTCCTGTGCTCACACGCTCTTTCTCTCTCACAAATAAATAAATAAACTCTTTTAAAAAGAAAAGAAAAGACGCTACTAGCAAAGGCAATTGACTCAGGGGTGAATGAACAGAAGCTCCTCCTAACAGAACAAAGAGCATTATAATGAGGGTTTTCCCAAAGCATTTCTAAAGTTCTACATTCTCTTGATATATCGGGTGTTATTACTAATAACAATATATCCCAAATGAACACCTTTTTTCTCAAATAGAAGTGCTTGCTTACCTGTCCATCTCTTAATTCTTTCTCACTGTGGAAAGAGCAAGAGTTTTCATTCATGACTCAAAGTCATTTGTTCAAGTGAGCTTTGTCCTTGGCTCAAAAAGGAGTTTAATAAGGTCTGAGATTAGAAGTATGGGGGGAGCCAGAGATCCGACCGCTCTACCTTTGCCTTCCTTCTTGGCAATCATTCAGACTAAGAGCAAGTAAACAGTCCCCATGTGCCATCACCAAGGCTAGGAGGTTTCTGTGAGTACTGAAAGAAGTCTCTGGAGTCTCTGAAGTCTCAGCTCTGAAGAAAAAAAAAATTACAAAATAAAACTAGTTTCATCATTCAGTTAAGCCACCGTTAAGAAAACCTGACTTTTTTTTTTTTAAAGATTTTATTTATTTATTTGACAGACAGAGATCACAAGCAGGCAGAGAGGCAGGCAGAGAGAGAGGAGGAAGCAGGCTCCCTGCTGAGCAGAGAACCCGATGTGGGGCTCGATCCCAGGACCATGGGATCACAACCCGAGCCGAAGGCAGAGGCTTTAACCCACTGCACCGCCCAGGCGCCCTGAAAACCTGACTTTAAAAATCTTCAAGCAGGAGCAGCTGGTAGCCCAGGAGGTTGAGCATCCCACTCTTGATTTCAGCTCAGGTCATGATCTCAGGTTCGTGAGATCATGTCCCCAGTAGAGTAGGGCTCTGTGTTTAGTGGGGAGTCTGCTGCTCTCCCTTCCTCTGCCCCTCCCCCTGCTCACATGCTCTGTCAAAACAAATAAATGAATCTTAAAAATAAATAAAAATCTTTAAGCAGCTGTGGATTTTTTCTGAATAAATCAGCTGCTTTAGTCAAATGCCTAACTCTTGGGATGCGTGGGTGGCTCAGTCAGCTAAGCATCTGCTTTTGGCTGAGGTCATGATCCCAGGGTCCTGGGATCAAGCCCTGCATCAGGGTCCCTGCTCGGCAGGAAGCCTGCTTCTCTCTGCCTGTCTCTCCCCCTGCTTGTGCACACTCTCTCTGTGTGTTGCATAAATAAATAGAATCTTTAAAAAAAATGCCTCTTACTTTCCATGCCACTGGATGGAAAGAAGGGGATGCTATAGAGTCTGAGGGCTGGATTCTCAGTGTCCAGAAGGCAGCAGCACCACTGTTAAGTGGTGAGGTCTGGTTCTGACAATGAAGTCATTGGGATCTGGGAACAGCTTATCAAAGGGATGAAGCTAATGCGTGGCATCCTGTAAGTGGTCTTAGCTGAAGTGCTCAGGCTTTGCTTAGGTCTCAGACACAGGTTGGGTCTGGGAGCTTAGAATACTAGGCCTGATACCTACGGTGATAGAAAATCAAAATGCAACACATTGCCTAGCCTTCCTCGGTGAACACCAGTATCGCCCATGTTGCAGCCGTTTAGCCAGTTTGGCCAACTCGAAGACAGTCATCCCACAAGCTCACCTTGGGAAGAGGGCTAGGCAGGCCCGTAATTTATCATGCAGGAATTGTACAACCTGGATGCCTGTTACGACAACAATCTGGATCATAAGTCAGCAGATAGCCCATAAAGAACTGACGATCACATTTCAGACTTGGAGAACTGGGAAGGAGGGTGGCCTCTTTTTGAGGTCAGCTTCTGACCGTGGGAACATGACCTGGATTCCCTAAGAATTGGCTGCCAGTAACAAACTGGAATCTGTCAGGCGCTAGAATGCACTGATTCCTAGCACCCAGAATGGGAATACTTCCTGGCTATTGGGCTGGACATTTGGGTCACTGTAATTTAGTGGGAAGGACAGTGCTCCCTGGTCATGGTACCTGAGGAACTAGCTCTCTCTCACTGTGTCCTCTGGGCCCTCAGCATCTTTCCCTTCCCTCATCCCTTTCCTTTCCCTCCTCCTTGACCTCCATGACACCATATAACAAAACACTCACACAGCCAACCTTGGGAAGGTGACAGGCGGAGATGGTACTAGTGATTTCAGGAAGCCTCTTGTTTCTGCGTATGACATGAATCAGGCAGCACAGAAGCATGAGCAGCTGTACACACCTGCTAGTGCCTCAGTTCCGGCTGGAGCTCTGAGGACTTCAACAGGGACAGTTACTATCTGTACCAGAGAAGAAAAGGGCAAAACTCCATCAAATAAGCCAGTAATGGAAGTTATGAAGTCACTCCCACCAACAGTAGGCAAATTCTTTATAGCTGGGCCCAAAGAAATGATCTTCCATAAGTATGGGTCCTTTTCTGTCTTTTTTTTTTTTTTTAAGATTTTATTTACTTATTTGACAGAGGGAGACACAGCAAGAGAGGAACACAAGCAGGGGGAGTGGGAGAAGGAGAAGCAGGCTTCCCGCAGGGCAGGGAGCCTGATGTGGGGCTCCATCCCAGAACCCTGGGATCATGACCTGAGCTGAAGGCAGATGCTTAACGACTGAGCCGCCCAGGCGCCCCAGGTCCTTTCCAAACTAAGTATGGTACACCCACTTTAGGCAAGGAGCTACATTAAGAGATAACTTCTTGTTGGAGCTTCAACTCTCTAAACAGGTAATTAATCGCGACACTGGATCTATAACTTCAAATACAAATGCCCAATAGGTCTGACAGTCCTTCTCTGATCCTTTCATCAGGCTTGTACCTGGGCGGCTCCCCGGCCCCTCACTCCCCCCCCACCCCGCCCCACGGAGGGCAGGTACCATGGGGCCCAGGTAGAGGCTTGGGGGCACCGCCAGGCCCCCGCCGCAGAAAACGCCATCCCAGGCGGACGCCGCGGCCCCCGGCAAAACGACTGGCCACCTGGGGGACACAGGGCCGGGTGCTCGTCGGCTGTGACGCGCGGAGCTCGGCGGGAATCTCACTCTACCAAGGTACCCCGCCAGACTGGGGCTGTGTGGATTCCGGACGGAAACCTCCTCACCAGCTGGTGCGGAAAACAGGTAAGCAACTTGCCTCGGGTCACTGGGCGAGCCCACGGCACGGCGCAGACCAGAACCCAGGTCTTCTGGGTCCCGGGCGGGATTCTCTCTCAGGCTTGCAGCTCCCAGCCTCGTCTCGGCCCGGGGCGACCATCTCCACCCCACGCTCGCTCTCTAGAGCCAGGGGTTTGCCGACCGCGGCCCAGAACTCCAGCGCCACCGCGTCAGGGTCTAGCCGCCGGCCCCGCCTTCCCGCGCGTGCGCACCGCGTCCCCGCGCCGCCTCTCCACCGCAAGCGCCCCACCTCCCGGCTGCCAAGGACGCTTAGCACCGCGAGAGCCCTACGAGCCGCGGGGAGGGTCAGTCTGCGCCGGACTCAGAGCTCCCTGCCAGAAAGGTCTGGCTTATCAGCGGTCGAGGCTGCCTCCGCCTCCTCCCAATCCCCGTCTCCCCGCCCAGCCCAGAAGGACACAGAGGCGCGGCAGAGTCCCGGAAGCAGAGGCTGGGTGCGGAGGCTGCGGACCCCGTCCTCGGACCCCGCCGGCGCCATGTGGCTTTCGCTGCTGCTGCTGCTGGCCCTGCTGCTGCTGGCGGTCTTCCGCAAAGGGCACCTGCTCCTGTCCGCAGGCAGCTCCCCGAACCCCTTCTCCGAGGACGTCAGGTGTACCCTCGCGCCGCTAGTGACCGACAAGGAGGCCAGGAAGAAGGTTCTCAAGCGAGGTCAGCGGGAAGGGACGCTAGGCTCCAGGGCTGCACTTGGGTGGCTTGCATTCCCATTCCGACAGGGCAAGCCGCTGTCTACCTGGGCCTCAGTTTCCCAAATGTAAAGCGTTAGGTGGGCTTCCTTGCACGGGGAAGCGCCCCGCCTTAGTATCTGCTACAGCTGGGAGCCTTAGCCCTGGCAGGCCCTGGGCCTTAGTAGCTCCATGGGCGCGGTCCGGTCTCAGCATCCCAAGGTCATGGTATACCCAAGAACAGGTCCATGATCTGCAGGATAGACAAGAGACCTTCCCCCCATTTAGTTTATAGGACCTTAGCTTTTTTCACTTACACTACCTCCATGGTTCAGAGGCGTGGAGGAGCTGCACGTTTCTTACAACCTGTGTGGGAAATTGTCTTTTGCCCATCAAGTGATTTGACTGGTTATGCCTCCTCCCAAATTATATGGTCGAACTCTGGTTTTAAAACTTTGGGAGAACCTCAACAGGATGCCTCAAGCTCAGAGCTGCTCCTTGGTCAACCAGAGTGTCTCCACTCTCATCTTTAGGACATACTTTGGGGTTCCTCAAAAGCTTTAAAGGAGTTCTGCCTTAAAAAAAAAAAATAGATCTCCTCTTTGATCTCCAAGGTCCCTACCACTTGTAAATTTTAGAATTCTGTGTGACACATCTTGTGATACAGGCGGTCACAATACTCTTAAGTGGAAAGGCTATTAGTCTGAACTTCTGAGATCAGGGTTTTAGCTTGAACTCTCTCATTAATTTACTGCATAACCATTCGCAAGTCACTCCACTAATCTTGGGTTAATCTAAAAATGAGGTGACTAGTATAACTTTTTCACACCAGGTTGTCATCTATCAATGGGTCATGAATTTGATTTCGCAGTTTGGATTTCAAAATGTGGTAGAATAGAAACTATCAGAGTCATCATACATAGTTCTGGGAAGTGTTGAATTGTGAAACTCCTGTTTCAGGTATTTATATTATATACTTATTTATAACCAGGGTTGTGATATAAAATGTGCTTGTTTCTATAAAAATGTTTGAAAAGTTTTCCAAGTTCTGTTTTTTTCTAAGATTTTATTTATTTATTTGACAGAGAGAGATCATAAGTAGGCAGAGAGGCAGGCAGAGAGAGAGAAGGAAGCAGGCTCCCTGCTGAGCAGAGAGCCCTATGTGGGTCTCGATCGCAGGACCCTGAGATCATAACCTGAGCTGAAGGCAGAAGCTTAACCCACTGAGCCACCCAGGTGCCCAAGTTTTCCAAGGTCTTGTGCAGTCTGAAAAATTTCAAATCTCAGTTCTTCAGGAGTGATCTTTAGAGAACAGATCTTGTGTGAACCCTTAGCTCTGCCTCTAGACTTCTCCAATATTAAGCGGGTGGTGCTATGATTTCTCAGCTCTGTCCTGCTCAAGCCTCTGCTTCGGGATCGTGACGAATCATCATAGGACCACGCTGCTCCACTGGTGCCAACAGACCCTGTATTTTCCAAATATAACCAACTTGTGAATGGACAGTTCCATGAGCCAGCAGCCTGCCCACAACACTCTCCTCTGTCCCCCATCTCCTCGTTTTCTTTCTTTCCCAGCTCTCTATCTGCACTGAAGTTTCTCAGCCTGTATTACTGTCAGCTTTCTGGTTTTGTTTGTGTTGTGGTTTACTGATTCCTACTTTCTTTGATAGTAGGGAGAATTCCCAGGTACATATGGGTTTTGATTACATCAATTCAACTCAAACCAAATCGCGGTCTTTAATCTGCCTGGCTGGTCCCTGAGAATTTCCCAGGTGAACGGGTGGAGTTATTTCAGTCAGTCACTCCATGCCGAACTCCCTAGAGTTCACTTGCATTGTATAAGCTAGAGGAATCTTTGTTGGTTTCCATCTCTTTGCTCTCCCGCTGCCCCTGCCTGAGAAGCTCACCCTCCGACTCTTCCCTCTGCGGTAGCTTTCTCAGCCAGCCAAGTGCCAGAGAATCTGGATGCAGTGGTGATTGGCAGTGGCTTTGGGGGCCTGGCTGCAGCTGCGATTCTGGCCAAAGCTGGCAAGCGAGTTCTGGTGCTGGAACAACACGGCAAGGCCGGAGGCTGCTGTCATACTTTCAGACAGAAAGGTGTTGAGTTTGACACAGGTAAGGTTTATGTGGGAAGGGGCTGGGAGCATGGCTCTGTCTTCAGGAGGCTGGGGGAAGCCATTGTGGGAGGATCCTGGACTTCTCTGTTGTTTTGGAGGCACCACTTTGCCTGATAGCCATAACCACTGGGTATGGAACTGGGCAGAGATTTGGTGGTTTCTGTTGCAACTCCTCCCCACGGAAAGGGTCGGTGGCACCCTCTGGGCGGGGGACTCAGCCAGGCAGGACTACCCCTTTCACCTTGCTTCCTTATCCACCTTTCCAGGGGTCAGTCCCCTTATCTCTGTGACACCTTTTTTTTCTGTCTCCCAATAGGAATCCATTATGTTGGGTCCATGCAAGAGGACGGGATTTGCCGTTTGGTCTTGGACCAGATCACGGAGGGGCAGCTGGACTGGGCTGCCTTGTCCTCTCCCTTTGACATCATGGTACTGGAAGGGCCCAATGGCCGAAAGGAGTTCCCCATGTACAGTGGGGAGAAAGCTTACATTCAGGGCCTCAAGGAGAAGTTTCCCCAGGAAGAAGCTGCCATTGACAAATATGTAAAGCTGGTTAAGGTAACATGGCCATGCTGAGGACCCCTGTTTATTCCTGAAAAGGCTGACCTTCTTCATGAGTGGAGCGACTCCCTGGCAAGAAGGGAGAAACAGTCAAGTCTGCCCTGAACTCAGCCACTATCCCTAGTTGGCCTCAGTGCCCAGCTGGGTCCTGTCTCTGGACCCTGGGCTTGGCGGCTGCCACTCTCACTCTGGCCTCTGGGGGGCACCCTGGTCTCCTTTTTGACAAAGCTGGCTTCTTCTTGGTCAGATCACAGGCTTTTTTACTTCCTCTGAGATTAGATGGGAGTTTTCAAAAGAAATTTGGTCAGAAAACTGAAAAGCAGGGAAGGTCTTATCTGAATATGGAATGGGAACAATTCACGAATTTTAAAAACCCAAGTTCAGCCAGGTCTAAGTGGTGCTGGGCCCTGCTTGGGCGCTGGTGCTGGCTATTGGAATGGCGATTTCCTGACAGTGTTCTAGATATGGGACCTGTTCTCAGGGCTCATCTTTTCCCCCAGGTGGTGTCCCGTGGAGCCATCCATGCCGTCTTGTTGAAGATGCTCCCCTTGCGCTTAGCTCAGCTCATCAGCAAATGTGGGCCGCTCACCCGTTTCTTTCCATTTCTTCGTGCATCCACCCAGAGCCTGGCTGACGTCCTGCGACAGCTGCCCGCCTCCCCGGAGCTCCGGGCGGTGCTGAGCTATATCTTCCCCACTTACGGTGGGTACTAGCCTTGGGTCCTGGGCAGCTCCTGGAGGAGGAGGTGCTGCCCTCTTGGTTCTCAGTCTTTCTTCCTGAGCCTGCTTGACTAACTGAAATGGAGCAGTATCTACCCAAGGCCCTCTGGAGCTTCCAGATGACAAGTCTGGCCACCTACCTTCTGGACTCCCAGGTAGAAGAGTCCATCATCTGTGCCCTGGATGGTTTTCCTTTCCAACCGACAATGTCCTCCCTCGTCTTGGCAACAGGGCACTTTCCAGGGAGGACATTCCCACCAGCCCCAGGATCTGTCAGGTGCCCTCTGTTTGGATGGAAACAGGCCCTCTGGCTGCCCTAGCCCTGGGGATCATTTGGATCCTGGGATGGGTCGACTCAGGCTATGTGATTTTTGACAGAAAACTGTGTTCCTTTCTAAATGGTGCTGCCGCCTTCCTTGATTCTGTAGGTGTGACCCCCAGCCACAGTGCCTTTTCCATGCATGCTCTGGTGGTTGACCATTACATAGAAGGAGCCTTTTATCCCCGAGGGGGTACCAGTGAGATCGCTTTCCACACCATCCCTGTGATTCAGCGGGCCGGGGGCGCTGTCCTGACCCATGCCACTGTGCAGAGCGTGTTGCTAGACTCAGCTGGGAAAGCCTGTGGTGAGAGCCCTGCATCCTGCTTCCTGGTCCCCGGGCTAGGGTGGGACAGGACTGGGGTCCTGAGAGAATCAAAACTGTGGTCACAAGGTGGAGAAGAACTGATCACACGGGGAGTTCAAGGCTGAAACTGCCCAGAGCAGGGGCTTGGGGAGAGGGATTAGTCTGGAGGTGAAACCCCCACTGAGCCACCCAGGCGCCCCTTTTTTTTTTTTTTAAAGATTTTATTTATTTATTTGACAGACAGAGATTACAAGTAGGCAGAGAGGCAGGCAGAGAGAGAGAGAGGAGGAAGCAGGCTCCCTGCCAAGCAGAGAGTCTGGAGGTGAAAAAAGGAGGCAGGAAGAATAAAGGGTTGGATGTTCCCCCAAAGGACAGTATTTAATCATTTATTCAATAGGTAAAATAGTTATCTAGTAATCCATAACCTCCTTGAATATAGGGGCTGTATCTCTGTAATCTTTGTAGATCTTAGCACATAATGGAGGCTCAACAGGTGTCTATTCAGTGACGGAATGAATAAGTAGCATGTGCACTCCAAAGGGCAGTGTGGAGGCCAGCCAGATGCCCTAGCCTTAGTCTGTAAATGGCAGGTGGAGCCAAGAATCTCGTTAGCCTGGCTCAGGTCTTTCCTGCTACCTGCACAGAGAGTCAAAATTGCACTGTGGATGAATTCTGTGAGGGGAGGATGATGGCAGGGAAGGACTCAGAGAACGAACAGGCCATCCCTGACTAGGGGCTGCCTGAAGAAGCATCAGGGAAGGAGACAGAGAGAGGCCTGAGAGAATAGGGCTGATGTGACAGTGAACTGACCAGAGGAATTTTGCAAGGAGGAGTAGGGGAGTGGATGGCCCAGTACACACACACACACACACACACACACACAGTACATCAAGGTAGAAAAAGCCATGAGCAGTCTCTGGGAACGCATGTGTAGAAGAGACCAGGAATTGCCGGAATAAAGAAGAGGTGGCTGTCAGCTGTGCGAGATTTTCTCTGATGTCCAGAGCAAGTTCTTCTTCCAGCCAAATGAGGTTCATGAAGCAAGGTGGGTTGATGGGTTTAATTAGATTCGGTTCAGAATATTACTTGTATTTTTCAGGTACAAGGTGATAAAAGATGGAGATAAAAACGTAAGATGGCTATAAAGAAAATCTATAACTCAAGAAGTTTCCAGCCTCATAGGGGAGATCACTGAGACATAATTTAAAGTGTCAGATAGAGACACATACTAAGGATAGAGGGAGGAGGGGAGTGGTGCCTGAGCCAGCTCGTAAAGGGTGAGAAGAACCTAGGCCGAGGTTTTGGGATGTTATTCCAGGCAAGGGGAATAGCATGTGCAAAAGTACAGATGTATGAAAGAGCTGAGTATTTTTAGACATCTGGAAGTAGTAGCTTGAACCCTAAGAAACTGCCTTTTTTTTTTTTTTTTTTTTAAGTAGGCTCCATGCTCAGAGTGGAGCCCAACGTGGGGTTGGAACTCACAACCCTGAGATCAAGATCCAACAGATGCTTAACCAACTAAGCCACCCAGGTGCCCCAGAAACTGCCATTTTTATAGGTCAAATATGGTTGAATATCAGCTGCTTCATATGTTGCCCCCAGTAGGTTAGTGAGTACGGCCAGAGATGGGACTGGAGACATAGAAGGGCCCAGACCTTGGAAGGCCGGTACAAGACTTTGGAGTTTATCTTACAGAGGCTGTGGTGACACCAGAGGTTTTCAGAGTATTTTGGAGATAGAACTCTGGAAGCAGTGAAGAAGGGCCTGGGATTCCAATGGAAGGACTTCAGCCCATGAGCTTTGTTGGGGTCAGTGTGGAGGTTGTTGGGTTTGGCTAAAGAAAAGGGCACCTACATAGGGGAGAGAGCCAGGGAAGTAAGGGCAGGAGTGACTTGGCTAGGCGAAGATGTACTCACTTTGCAGTTTGGCCAGGAGCCTGCCCACCTAGACCTGGGTGGGCTGGATGCTCAGGTCTGAGAACACGCAATGTAGGCTGGGAGAGATATGTGCAAGATGTGGACCTTTCTTGGAGTGCGCAGAACCTCAGGCAAGCTCTTGTGCCTGCAGGCGTCACTGTGAAGAAGGGTCAGGTGCTGGTGAACATCTGTTGCCCCATCGTGATCTCCGACGCAGGACTCTTCAATACCTATAAGTACCTGCTACCTGAGAACGCCCGCTGCCTGCCAGGTAAAGATTGGGCTGCGTTATTCTTCTGAGCTCCCACCAGCACCCCTCTGGGGCTAGCCTGCCCAGCCCGACTGGTGCTCTTGCTCCTCCTGACTGCCCTGTGACCGTCCTTGAGCAGAACAGGTGAGCACGAGCATGCTGTCTCCAGCATCTGTTCCCAGCATGGCCTCTGTGCGAAGGGGTTGGGAAGCAGCTTCCCTCGTATTGTGTCACCCCCCAAAGAGCCCTTGGTCCTTCTCCCTCATTCCATTCTTGGCATATTTACCCTCTCTCCCTTATAACCTCACCTACTTTGCCCTCTCCTCTTTCAAGGCTCTATACCAGATTGCCCATTTCTAGCTTCTCCAGATCTTAAATCATCTCTCTCACAGTTGGTGATGGCGGGTAGCATCCTAAAGGAACATTTCTTGGGTTTTCACTAAGTTTGTGGTATGAATCCTACTTTTCTCCTTAATTTCTCACTTATTTTGAATGGGAAAGATGAGTCTGACAGTATCAGTAAGGGAAGCTAAGGCTGGCATGGAGAAGAAAGTCTTGCTATAACTGTTGTGTGTTTTATTTGGGATCCAAGGTTATATTTTTTGCCTCTTTCAGGAACCAGCTCCTTATTGGGGCTGAGGCTGCAGGAGGAGTATCCTTCTGGCTTTCTTCTGTCCCTTGAGCTCTGGGCTTGTACTTGAAATCTGCGACCCAGACAGAAATAATACTCAATGCGATCATCTCTTCTGATAGACTGTGTCCAAAAATCGAGAAGCCTGATTTTAGGGGCGAGGGGTCAGTAGGCATAGCTATGGGTGAGCCCTCCCTTGGTAAGTCTGTGTGAGAGGCTTTCCCTTTGTCATTGCACATGATCCTCATTGCCACCTGGGAGAGAGATGTCATCATCCTGATGTTTACGCAGGATGTGGAGAAGTGAGGTGAAGTGACTTCCTGAGGCCACCCAAGTGAAAGTAGCCAAGTTGAGATGAGAACACTGGTGTGTCTGACTGGCTCTTGGCCCACTCTGGACTAAGGAATGTGGAGCTTCCAGACAAAAGTAAAGGGGCAGGAGAGCAGCCAGCCTACAGGGAACAGAGTAGCTGAGCCAGAGTTGAGTGAGATGTTATGATTTTGAAATGGACTTTAGAATGTCACGTAACTAGAAGCTACTGGTATGATCTGAGGACAGGAGGCCAGTTGGCGGGGAGGGGGATCTATAGTACAGAAGGGTAAGAGACAGTTCTAGATAAAGGCCTCTGGCTGGGGTGGGAGGTGAGAGTGAGGAACAGCTCCAGATGTGGTTGGGGTGGAAACCATGGCCTTCAGTGGTGCATGGGGGAGCCCAGAGAGCAGTGGGAAGGAGCTCTCCCCTCCAGAGGGTGGGCCTGTGGCTGCTCTGGAGGAGCCAGGGAAGGTGGGCAGCACAGTGGGTTCAGTAGAAAAGTGATGTCCTGGGTTTCCTTCCAGGGGAGAGGACAGGTGGCAGCCGTGATGGTCTCTGAGGCATGAGATGTGTATGACCAAAATCCAGCCTTCTCATCTCTTGGCCTCACTTAGCTGGGCCTCAGCCAGCATCTGTGCCAGCAAAGGCCTCCCTTCCCTCACACCACATGGGCTGAGTGGGCTGAGGCAGACCGGCCAGTGGCAGGGCAGCTGAGCAGGGCTCTGTGGACTGACGGACTTTGCCTTTGGTACTTGCTGCCTGGCTGTCTCCCAGGAACTCTGAACCCTGGCCCTGTCCTCTGATGGATCCCTGTACCCTTCCCTCTCTTCCACACCTCCTCCCCCAGTAGCCATGTTGCTCTCCCTTCACTATCTGGTTACAGTTACAACATTTGCTGCTTTATGTGTCTTATCTAATGGCACCAGGCCCACCTGCAAAAAAAAAAAAAATTGCCCCACTTGGGTGGGGAGTTAAATGCAGCCTCAGATGAATCCAGTCTGAGAACATTTCAGGCAGTGGCAGTGAGGATGCCTAACTCAGCACACCCCAGGTGCTGGGACTCCTTTGTTTCCAGCTGCTCTGGGGTGGGGATTCTCATGGGTCTGTCTCCCTCTCAGAGACGAGAACTGGGTGGCCTCTGGGGCAGGCAGTGCCAGTTGCCGTCAAGTGTGGAGGAGGGGCGGTCAGGCAGAGGGAGCCTGTGTAAATGGGAGCACTTTTCTTAATTCCACTGCTGAGCCTTGAGGAGGTTCCTGGGGATGGTTTGGAGGGGAAGTTATCTTGAGTGGGGAAGACTGGTCTGACAGCACCAGTAGGGAAGCTGAGGCTGGCCTGGGAAAAACAGCCTTGATATCATCCTTGTGTGCCTGATTTGGGACTCTAGGCTCTCGTTTTCTGCCAGGTATGTGGTTCCTGGATCACATCCTTCTAGTTGGAGAAAAAGTAAAGGAGGGTCTGGCTGGAGGTGGTTGCTAATCTTAAGGGCCTCTGAAGACCTAGACGGTCTCATTCCCTGGGCCCCCGTCTTCCCCATGACCACCCCCACTGCACCTGGTGAGGGGGAGCTGGCAGTGCGGTCAGCCCTAGATGCTGGGATGCAGGTCACCGGTGCCCCTGCAGCTCCAGAGCAGCCCCAAGCGCCCTCTTGTGGCTCTGGAAGCCCGCGCTCCCCTTCCCCCATCACCGTGCACCTACAGTCCCGCTGCCATCGTTAGCATGCCATAGGCTCAGAAGTGGCCTGTTTTTCTATGCGCACCCTACACAGAGCGCTCTGTTCTTTGTGGCCTCTATGGGGAAAGCCAACTTCTTTCAGGAACAGTCGCTTTTCCAGTAGACAGGCATTGTATCTGATACCCTGTAGCGTCCCCAAGGCCTAGGAGAGGACCTAGCACATTTTAGGTCCTCAACAAATACTTGTTCAACAAATTAAGCAGAGCAGCCAGTGGGTGAGTTACCCTTCAGGCAGGTGATGGTCCTGGGAATGGGAACGAAGGATAAGACTTTGTGGGAGCCACTTCCAGAAAATTGGTCTGGGGTCATTTGTTAAGAGGTGGGGAAGCCCAGCTGCTTAGGTCCAGGGGACATCAGATGATTCTCAGAAGAGTCTGTCACCCTCCTCCAGGGTGCTCTTCCCTCCTCCCCTACCTGAATTCTAAACATTAGGTGTCAGTAATGCTGTTCGCATTTGTTCACATGCATCGCTTACCACGCTGAGGTCTCGTACTGCCTGAACGGATCATGAGGAATTATGCATAGTCATTCATTAGATGGCTTGTGTTAAATGTTATATGGAAATCAAGGCTGGTCACAAAGTGCTGTGCATATGTGTGGTCTGTATAGTGTGGAGCCCAGTAGTCCGCTCATGACTTAAAGCCATCAGGGGGAGGCTGGAGGCAGTAAGCCTGAGACTGTCCTGCGACCCTGGGCCAGCTTAGGGAAGCTGAGCCTCCCGGGCTTCTAGGGGTGCTTCGAGCAGAGGTGGGAGAAGGCATAAGAGTGGGAGCCTGGGGTTGGGCTCTTTACAGGCAGGAGACGGAAGAGCAGCACCCCCCCCACCCCCACCAAGTCAGTGTTGAAGTAACAGCTGTGAAAATGGCCCAGGTGCTAGGCTGGCGGCCACCGGTAAAGTGACCTGCAAGGTCAGGGCAGGAAGTGGCCACCACAGCCCCAGGTCACGCAGCCCTGACACTTTGGCAGGTGTGAAGCAGCAGCTGGAGATGGTGCGGCCTGGCTTGGGTGCCTTCTTTGTTTTCATCAGCCTGCGAGGCACCAAGGAGGACTTAGGGCTACAGTCCACCAACTACTTTGTCTGCTTCGACACAGACCTCGACAAGGCGTAAGGCGTGTGTGCACATGGGGGGAGAGGGGGTCGGCAGGGGCCCGCAGCCCACAGGGCTCTTGCTTCCTCCCTTCATGCTGGGAGAACCCGCAACAGGATGTGGACTAAGACTCCGCTTCGTCCCTGGGGAGGAGGGGTGTCCTTGGGGGTGACGTACCCTCTGGGCAGTGGCAGTGAGCGAGGCCTGGGGATTGGCAGCCACGTTCCTCCCCTGCAGAATGGAGCACTACCTCTCGGCGCCCAGGGAAAAGGCTGCAGCACACGTGCCCATCTTCTTCATCGCTTCCTCGTCAGCCAAGGACCCCACTTGGGAGGACCGGTTCCCAGGTGGGGCTTTGGGTCCTGGGAGTGAGGGTGGGGGCTGGAACAAGGAAGGGGCCTGGGGTTAATAAGCCCGGGTCTGTGTCCCCAGACCGGTCCACGATGATCGTGCTGATGCCCACCTGCTATGAGTGGTTTGAAGAATGGCGGGAGGAAGCAAAGGGACAGCGGAGCAGCGACTATGAGACCCTCAAAAACTCCTTTGTCGAAGCCTCCCTGTCAGTTGTCATGAGGCTGTTCCCACAGCTAGAGGGGAAGGTAGGACGGTAAACTGTGTGCTCGTGGCAACAAATTGGTGACAATTCTGCTTTTTCTTTTGGGGAGGGCAGTAAAACCCGGACACAGCCAAGCTTGGGGAAGGGAAGGGAACCCACAGCGACAGACAGCTCCGTCAGGGAGAGCAGAAAAGGGAGGAAGGGAGGACCTTATTAGGCCCTGCTCCCACCTCTTGGCTGCCTTTTTTGTCTCCTCAGGTGGACAGTGTGGCTGGAGGGTCCCCACTGACCTACCAGTTCTATCTGGCTGCTCCCCGAGGTGCCTGCTACGGGGCAGACCATGACCTGGACCGCCTACATCCTCATGTGATAGCTTCCATGAGGGCCCAAACCCCCATTCCCAACCTCTACCTGACAGGTACGTGGACTGCCCCATTTCTCCAGGGCCTGAGACCCTGGGCGTCCCTGTCACCCCAAGTACTCTGTTCTGTCCTTAGGTCCTACTGTCCCCTTCAGCCTTCCACACGGGGATGGGCTGCCCCAGCAGGCTGTGGACCTGGGGTGGCCTAGCTGGGAGGGATGACCATGAGAGCCCTTGCTCCCCATCCCCCTTGTGGGAAGGTGCTAATGGGTCTCTGCTCTTGTCCCCTAGGCCAGGATATCTTCACTTGTGGGTTGATGGGGGCCTTGCAAGGGGCTCTGCTGTGCTGCAGTGCCGTCCTGAAGCGGAACTTGTACTTAGACCTTAAGAAGCTTCACTCAAGGATCCACACACAGAAGAAGCAGCATTAGTTCAGTAAGCAGTGGGTCTGAGGAGTCCCATCGGTGCTATGGCTCAGCCCTTGATTAGCCATGATGTCCTTCTGTCCTGTTCCTTCCTCACATAAAGCACTCTAATTTATTTTAATTTCTGACTAGAGGTCTGACACACAGGTCACAGTCCTTAGATCACAGTTCTCAAGCTGTGGCTCTTCCAGCTGGCCGATGATGAGCTCTCAAACCTCTAACATGTTGTCCCTGCTGAAAGACCTGGTGTGGGTGGGCCAGTGCCTTGCAGAGCTCATCTTGTCAAGCGGTGCTTTGCATACCACACTCCCATACCTCCCAGCTCCGAGCTGTCAAGAGTCAAGTATTCTTTTGGTCAGGTGGAGAGAACCTTCAAAAGCATGGGCCATGGGGCGCCTGGGTGGCTCAGTGGGTTAAAGCCTCTGCCTTCGGCTCAGGTCATGATCCCAGAGTCCTGGGATCGAGCCCCGCATCGGGCTCTCTGCTCGGCAGGGAGCCTGCTTCCCCCTCTCTCTCTGCCTGACTCTCTGCCTACTTGTGATCTCTGTCTGTCAAATAAATAAATCTTAAAAAAAAAAAAAAAGCATGGGCCAGCTGAAGCAGCTTGGGCCAGCTGTCCCGAGGCTTCTCCTCTCCCATTCTCCACGCTGCGCTGCAAGAGCTCCACACAACTGAGGGTAAAGGGTGACTGAAGAGGCTTTTGTCCAAACCTAGGCATGGTTTTGGTTGTAGTTCCATAGGTTCAGAGGCCCCCAGACCCCATTTTTGTTGGTTCCAATGGCTCTTTCAGAGGGTCGAGGAAATGCCTATGATGGGCTGGGTGTGGGTGTGGGGGTAAAGACATTCGCCAGCAAGGTATATGTTAGCATATCCAATTCATACACAAAGGCCCTAGGTTCGTCTTACTTCCAAGGTGACACTGGGTCTTCATTGGGTCTGCACCAAGATATGTTTATGGAGCTCAGTACCTGAGCCTCAAAGTTTATGTTCCAAAAATCCACAGCAAAGGGTAACATTAGCAGTGGGGGCACAGGACTGGAAAGATGACTTCACCGGGGTTGAAGCAGGCTGAAAGAGCATTCCTGCCAAGGGTATAGCAGAGGACAGTCACAGAGGTAACTGTAAGACACATTAGCCAGCTATCTTCTAGACCCAGAACATGGAATGCCTGGTAGGAGCAGTGCGGCTGGAAATCAGTCAGGATCAGAATGTGGAAAGCTACAGAATGTGTGCAAAGGCCTGGAATGGTGTTCCTGTTTATTGGTATACACATGGGGATTAGATAGGAAGGTTAACAAGGCTTTAAAAAAGAAATTACCTTTCACTTATATTAGCCTTATTTCTGTCAATGTTATTACCATTTTAATAAATGTAATGATTTTGTAGCTTTAATATTTGAAGTTTATTTTGGTTTCTGTGCAATGATACAAAGCTACATTGAAATGGCATTCAGAGGAGCTCAGTAAAACATTATGTACTGAAAAATACTTATCATTAGACCAAATAAGCTTTTAAAAAAATAAAAGTAATTATATAGTTAAGTTAAAGCTGAAAATATAAAACATTGCAAAAACAGTGGCACTGTACTAATCAGGTAAACAAAAAAGGGGGAAAACTTCAGTCATTTATTTGACATGAGGAAATTCTGAACTAAAGGAGTATCTACGAGTGTGAGGAGGCTGGCTTTTTGGCAGCTTGAAACTACACAGCTCAGATCTAACACTGTTACAGAGGAGTTTCTCAACAGGGACATTTAGGAAATTCACACGTTTACTTGTGGGACTAGCTAAGATTCAGTCTTTCCCTGGATGAACAGTTAAATGAAACCTGAAAAATCTCTTCCCAGGATTCTTTCTTAAGCAAGGCAGTGTCAAAGACAACCTTCCCAGCAAGAGTTTTCAGAAAACAGCTGGCAGAACTAAAGGGTCTGGTGTCTGGTGTCTAAAATACTCTCCTCCCTGTTCAAATGATTCAGAACATGTGCAAAGCGTGCTAGCTTTCATCACATATACATAACAGCATTATATATCAAGTTACCCTGTAAAAACAAGGAGCAGGCTTCCTTTTTTTGATTTAAATGACATGAAGTGAGGAAAAAAATGAGAATCACCATCAGGGGAATTAAAGAGGTTTATAATTCTATCACCAAATGTTTCATTAAAAGCCATCACGGGAAAAGAAATGTCAGCATTTATATAGCTAGTTGTCCAGTCTTTCCGAGTTGTTACAGCCTTTCTACATAGACGGGCCTTCACTCCCCCCGAGTCCAGAAGTGGATTCTTTAATTCCACTCCGTAATCTGTAGCAGGAAAGCAAACCCATCTATTGACATCCATGACTAAAGCATAGATTTCTCCTCATAGAAATCACCCTGCAACCAAAAGCTGGGGCAGGAAAGCAAGCACGTAGCTGTCTGGATAGGGGTTCCTCTCAAGGCTCCATGTGCCTCCCCTCCCCTCACCGGCTTGAAAGACCTGCCTTAGCCAGTTCATCCTCCTCCACATCATCCCTAGAAAAACATGCTTCCAAGAGTTCATCTTCCAAAGGACAACTCCTGAGGAAACAAGTTTTCCACTGGGGTGAGAGAGTTCCTTCAGTGTAATTTCTAAAGTGAAACTTAAATTCAATCGTACTCTTTTAGCACAAGAAACAATACTTCTTGGATGCTCAAAAAATGGAACTATGTGGACTCCACAGAATACTTATTTTGCATCCACTTGGTGCCAACCCTCTTGGTTCCTGAAACCAACCTTTCTGTTCTCCTCCTTACAAGCAAAATCCATCAAAAAGGGACAGCAACCAGTAGCCAGAAGAGCTGTGTGAGACCTTAGTTAAGTTACATTCATATGTCCTAAACAAAGAAAGGAGACACTGAACTGAAATACCAGGGAACGTCACTATCCTATAGGCAGATATGTAGATGGTGCCACAAGCACTCCTGCAAGCAGCTTAGTTTTGGGGGGAAGAGAGCAGATAGAGACATCAGATAATGTCTGCCCTTTTTTGTTGGAGTTGCAAAATTTGTGACTGGCATTATTAAGAGTTCTTAGAGTAGAATGGAAAAAGCCAATCCTCTGTAGTGGGGGCAGTGAGGAAGGTGTGTGGGAAAACCTGAGCTGGGCCCTGAAGGAAGAGTTGGGGGAGACAAACGGAAGAATAGAAGGGAGTGCACCCTAAGCAAAGAACAGCCAGGGGAAGCCAGGGAATGGAGGACACAGCAAGAACAAAAAGGCACAGAAGCCTACATGGGCCTGCCCAGAGGAGCCTTTGGCCTAGAGAGTATGCAGATCTACACAGTCCTGAACACCAGAGTCATAAAAGCTTGCTTCTCTAAGCCACAAGAGGTAGACAAGGGGAACCATGGTTTTATGGAATGCTAGGAGAACCTGACAGAAGATTCCCTAGAGAGAGGAAAGCATTTTAAGGTTGGTACACAGGCAGAGAGAATGATGCAAGAACATTCATTCCTTCCTTATCTCCATAAATCTCAAGTCAAAGCCATGCTCTGTTTTAAGCAAGGTGCAAGATAATGTGACAAAGGCTGGTCCCTTCTGCAGACCGGCTTCCTCAACAGCACAGAATTCATCCCACGGCCATCACTTTCCACATTCTTTGTATTTCCCTGAGATCAGCTATTCGATTTCCATTTTTTCTCTGAAGAAACAACTCTCTCTAGGCTATCATAGGGTAGCACAACTAGAGCAGATTTAAGGAAAACTTCAAACCACAGCAGGATCCAAGACACTACCTCAGTTACCCCTGAATTTCTTAAAATTTTAGTAATGTCTAACATGGGCTGGAAGGAGAAATTTTACTAATTACCCTTGGCATTTTGTATCGATCAGAGAACCATTAACTAGATTAAGGTAAAAGAGAGTACAGTTAGTTTCTGATTACAGGTCTGTTTTGTCTAGTTTAGGCAACAAAGGCAAAGCAGAGTTTATGGGAAACCTTTCATAAAAGCCCTTTGAAATAATGCAGATCAAAACCGAAACCCTCCTGCACATCTTCTTATACAAAGCCCGAGCTTACCCTATTTTAAAAAGTCTGTTACAATTTTGAGTATAGAAGAACAAAGCATTTCAATAATCATAACTGTATTTTTAAAAATCTGTAACGGGAACCATGGCTTTACAGCCTTACTTCCAGAATCCCCAAGTTTAGTCAGTACAACCAAATGGAAGTTGACTTTGTCTTAATATGAAAATATTGGAAAAATGTGAAGAACTTACTCTAGACAGGTTGGACTTAACAGGCAATAAAGCACTTTTTAAAAGCTGTTTTGGTTTGCTGCTGGAGCCTCTCAAGAGAGTTATGTGTTAAAGTCCCCCTTTGCCGGTCAGCATTCACCTCTTCATCTTTTGTAAAGGGCACAACCCCCCCAAGTAAGAGGCCTTGATACAAGAGCATCTCATCCTGCAGAGTTTTCCTAGGTCTACAAAGATAGTCATGGGCACAATGCTGTTTTCAAGGGATAACTACTAAATGGCCAAGACCCAAGGGAAGGCAGTTGGCAGCAGTAGCCTGCCTGGGGCTGAACTCCCTTTGGTCACAGTTGGCTTCCCACATGCTCCCTCTACTCACACTCAGAGGAGGAAAGGATGGAAGACAAGAGCAGAGATAATGGGGACACAGGAGTACAAGGTCACCAAAGTGCAGGTGCAAAAATCAAAGCAATCCCCTTGCCTCTGCCAGTCCAGACTTGCCACCAAATCCTAGAGGAGGGGGTGTCTCTTAGGTCACAGTACTTTTTTCTTCATTTCTCTCCATTTAAAAACAAATCAGCAGGGAGGACAAAGTTCTCAAGAATGGAAAAATCAAATCTGAAACAAGAGCAACACAATTCATTGGTAACATTAATCTCTTTCCAGAGGGAATATATCTCACTATGATTTTAGGGGGAAAAAGATCTTGTTGGGGAACCTGGGTGGCTCAGTCAGTCAAACATCTGCCTTTGGCTCAGGTCATGATCCCAGGACCCTGGGACTAAGTCCAGCATCAGACTCTCTGCTCAGTGGGAAGCTTGCTTCTCCCTCTCCCTCTGTCCCCTTCCCCCTGCTCATGCTCTCTCAAATAAATAAAATCTTAGAAGTCAGTTTGAAATCAAATATATACCAGAAAGATGCACATTTGGTGGAAGGAATATGGGAATCCTGGCTTCTGCTTTGTGCCATTCTGTGTTGTTCTGAATTGTTTATATGTGCATTTTTTTTTAAAATTAGAAAAAAATGAAAGAAATAAATTCTTAAAGTCAATTATCTGGAACAGTACTAGGCCAGGGCTAAATTGTGAAGCTGACCTACTAGGCTAGTTAAAAAAGGTGTTCTGAGCTGAGTGGCTTATTCTGGTGCTGGTATGAGCTATACATGTGAACTGTGTTCCCTTCCCTTTAGGAAGTCAGGCCACCAACCACTTTTTACCAATGTCCTGACTGTCCCTACACAAAAGGGGAAAGGAAGGGTGAGTGCTGGCAGCAAAAGGCAGTGGAATTATCCTGCTCCCACTCAGACAGACTGCCTCTGGGGAGAGTATTGCTCAGCTCCTGCATTGTGGGGCGGAAGGAAGCCTGTTTTCTGACAGGCCTGGGATGGCCACACTCAGGAAACCTAGTCCACAGTGCTTAGTAGGGCTGATCTGGGGAGTTGCAGGCCTTTATGTTTCTGGACTCATTTGTATTCAGGGAGTGTAGTCTAATGCTTTGCTACCTAATGCATGGTTCCCCAGCATTTGGCATCACCTAGAAACTCCTAGAAATGTAGAAACATAGCTTCCACCCAATAGGTAAGGATTCAGATTTTGCTTTTTCATCACAATTCCCAAGGTGGTTAAAATCTGCAAAGTGCTGATTCAGTGCAAAAAGCACACGACAGGTGTCTACAGATTTGCCATCAGGTCTTACTTAATTTTGCCACAAACTTGCAGTATGAACTTTGGGGGGAAAAATCATGTTTCTGGGCCTGACTTTCCTCATCTGTCGAGGGAGGGAGCTGATGTAGAACATAAGAGGGAGGGAGCTGATGTAAAACACATCTAGCTCTCATGTTGCAGACATGTATATAATGGATGTCTCTGCTCTGTGGTCTGCAAAGGGACGGGCAATGGCGGCAGCACCCCAATAGCTGCTGCCTCCATGTCAAACGCAAGTGCACTGCTGGGCCTATCTGAGGCTGCATATGCCTCCCACACGCCTCCCACACTTCCTTACCTTCTGGTCCAAACGCTGGTAATCACTGGCCTTTGGGCGCCGAATGACTTTAGATCTTTTTCCTTCCAGGACAAAAGCAATAATCTGGGGAAAGGAAAAAGAAATTAACAGGTGACTCTACAATGGCATATTTCAGTCTCTAAAATCAGAGGTCACCACCTGGTAGTACATTTGTTAATGACCCTGACAGTGAAAGAGCAGTACAACCACAAAGAGGCCTCTTTAAATTATAAGTTTTCAGGAGGACAGGGCCTCCAGTTACATCAGAATCTATTACACTGCCAAACAGGAAATGACAGATGAAGGAAGACTGTTCTGGGCTTTAGCTTGTGGGAGTCTGTATGATTTACTCAAAAGCACAAAGATCTGCAAACTCTGCCCCAGACACCTCTAGGATAAGACATTCCTTTTTTCCCCACAAGCAATAATTATTTCTTATCTGCAAATGTACTTTTTCTCCTTGTTTCATTTTAACCTTACCATTTTCACATCTGAGGTTTCTGTGTGATGAGCATTTGGATGTAGCCTAAGAAACACACCATACTTATTAAACGTCTTTCCTCATTCCTCACAGCCACAGGCAAACTGATATCATGAACTGAACTCTCCAATTTCAACCAGGCTGTAGAAACTACTGAGTTCTTAGGGCTCAATGGGAAATGCCGTCATTTCGTCAACAGAGTGGTGGCTAAGCAACAGATATGACTCCACACCAAACCCTGCTATCACAGTAGAAGACGAGTGTAACCATGCAATTTCCAGCCATTCTTCTAATCAGAAACTCAACTGACTGTAGAAGATAGTCCCGGGCTCTCTGCTGTGGCTGTCAAAGACTAGGTAACCACTCTTTCTGCCACTGCAGATGGAAGATAAAAGCTCGGGAAAGGAAACCAGAAACGATGCACCATCTTCAGAGTGGAAACAGGAAAGTAAGTACTCTACTTACAGACTGTCAGGTACTCAGGTTCTCTGAGGCAGTAAACGATCTAAGTTTATGATTACGGGAGGAGACCCCAATTAAGGTCAGATCATAAGGTCCTCACTTGGCACCTAGGACAGCAGCAGAAGGTACTCAAAGGAATCTGACATGAAGAAAGATGATCTATAAAATGAGAGTAAAAGCCCTAGCAGAATCTGAGGAAAAACTGCAGTTTGTCTTAAAACCCCCAGTGCTCACAGGCTGATGAGTGATAGATATTGGCGCACACACCAAGAATTCAGGATGGAGGAAATCCCATTCCTCTTCTTAAGGCAATTCTTGCCTTACCTTCCGTTTGTTGTGATAGGCAATGTAGAACACAGCAACAAGAATGGCTGCAGTCACCAGATAGGCAAAGAAGTGGCTGCTCTCTGCACTAGCACTTCCAAGACTGTCCTTAAAAAGGTTATCATTCTCCCTACTCATGGAATCTAAAAGTGTCCCTTCATGGTTCTCACTGGAGGCAAGGCCAGGCGTTTCTTTCTCTCCTTCGGGTGGTGAATTCTCAGATTCTGTATCCCCTTCCTCAGCCTTCTTGGCCTCCACATCTGTAAGCTCTGAAGACTTGCCATCTTTTTCCTGCTGTGGAGAAGTGGAGTCAGAGTCTAGTAATTCTCTCTCCCCAGATTCACTTCTAAAAGCATGCAGAGAGGTATCTTTGCCAGCTGGTATGTTTAGGTCAAGCTTGGTAGGCTCCTTGTTAGCAGAGGATGGGTTAGAGACCAGCTTATCAGGGCTGTCTCCTTTGGACTGTGGCTCAGGCTTCTCCCTGTCAGGGCTGTCTCCTTTGGACTGTGGCTCAGGCTTCTCCTCTTTAGGGCCACCTCCTGTGGACTGTGTCTGCGGCTTCTCCTTGTGAGGGTCCTCTCCTGTGGACTGCGTCTGGGGCTTCTTGTTAGGGTCCTCTCCTGTGGACTGAGGCTCGGGCTTTTCCTTGTTAGGGTCCTCTCCTGTGGACTGTGTCTGGGGCTTCTTGTTAGGGTCCTCTCCTGGGGACTGAGGCTCGGGCTTTTCCTTGTTAGGTTCCTCTCCTGTGGACTGTGTCTGGGGCTTCTTGTTAGGGTCGTCTCCTGTGGACTGCGGCTCAGGGCTTTTCCTTGTTAGGGTCCTCTCCTGTGGACTGTATCTCGGGCTTCTCCTTGTTAGGGTCGCCTCCCGTGGATTGCATCTGGGGCTTCTTGTTAGGGTCCTCTCCTGTGGACTGTGTCTGGGGCTTCTTGTTAGGGTCCTCTCCTGTGGACTGAGGCTCGCTTTTCCTTGTTAGGGTCCTCTCCTGTGGACTGTATCTCGGGCTTCTCCTTGTTAGGGTCGCCTCCCGTGGATTGCATCTGGGGCTTCTTGTTAGGGTCCTCTCCTGTGGACTGTGTCTGGGGCTTCTTGTTAGGGTCCTCTCCTGTGGACTGAGGCTCGGCCTTTTCCTTGTTAGGGTCCTCTCCTGTGGACTGTGTCTCGGGCTTCTCCTTGTTAGGGTCGCCTCCCGTGGACTGCGTCTGGGGCTTCTTGTTAGGGTCCTCTCCTGTGGACTGAGGCTCGGCCTTTTCCTTGTTAGGGTCCTCTCCTGTGGACTGTATCTCGGGCTTCTCCTTGTTAGGGTCGCCTCCCGTGGACTGCGTCTGGGGCTTCTTGTTAGGGTCGTCTCCTGTGGCCTGCAACTCGGGCTTCTTCTTGTTAGAGTTGTCTCCCGCGGCCTGCGGCTGGAGCTTCTCCTTGTCAGGGCCCTCGCCCGTGGCCTGTGGCTTTAACTTGCCGGACTTTTCTAGTGGTAAGGAAACTGAAATAAAGAAACCAGTTGGTTTCAGAGCTAGAAAAGACTGAGGCAACAACCAAACGGGCAGGCGGGTGATGGCAAGCGGAGGGGTGTCTATGGCAGGGAAGACCCGCGGTGACGGTGGGGGGCTGGGGGTGGCAGTTGGATTACTGGGGGGACCGGGGGGGGGGTCTTACCCGCCGCTGCGACGCTCAGCAGGACCAACGCAACCAGGAACCGCATCCTGCACCGGCTGTGCTTCCGCCCTCTACTGCTCTCGCGAGATCCGTCCGCGCAGTCTTAGTATTCTTAGCTCCGCCCCTTCCTGCGTGCGTCTTTCCGCCGCAACCGCGGTGAGGGGAAGTGGAGAGGTAAGGGAGGGTCGGACTGGTCGGTGTTTCCGCTCTTTCTTTTCCGTTTTGGCTGTATTCGTCCGTGCAAAGATAATGCAGTCTCTTTCTTTTCCAGATTTCTTCGCTGCCTAGCCGCCGCCGCAAACGTCACTCCCCTTTTCCTTTTTTTCCCCTTGTACTTCCGAGACAATCTTGGCAGAGCCAGAGCTCCCTGGCCGGCAGATGGTCCCACGGGACTGACGTTGCTGGGACCCGGCGCCTCGGCTCCATCCTCAGCTCACGTTTTTAACTTCTCCCTTTCTCTCGGTTCTTTGCTCGTAGCTTACAAACGTTTTGCGCCCAGGTCTCTCCCATCTGGAAACAGAAACTCATCCCGTCACCTTTGTAGCGGGAGCCATCCCATTCCCACGGGGACTGCCCTCCGAGGTCCCCAAAGATCTTTTCTAAAAAGTACGTCCTTTTTCTTGTCATGAAAGTTTTAGTAGAAGAAGATTCAGTGAACGTATTTATAGAAATAGGAAAAATCTTTATCCCACTCTTACGGGATAATCACAAGGTTTTAATGTATTTTCTGCCTTGCAAACATTCTAATATTTTTGATTTGGTAATACATTCTAGTGGTTCAGAAATCAAAATGAAATTTAAAAAAAAAGGTATACATCAAAATTCTTGATCCCTGCCATGCTACAGATTACCACTTAGTGTATTGTGTTTCTATGTAGTGTTTTATTTATTTTCTAGGCTTTTTTTTCTTTCTTTCTTTCTTTTAAGATTTCACTTATTTATTTGAGACAGAGGCACACACAGAGAGCACCAGCAGGGCGGAGGGAGAGGGACAAGCAGATTCTGGGCTGAGCAGGGAGCCCAACCTGGGGATGGATCCCAGGACTCTGGGATCATGACCCAAGCTGAAGGCAGACACTTAACACCCAAGTGCCTGCCGCATCTAGTGTTTTGTTTTTAAACAAGTAAGAATACTTATTTTTCCCTCTGTCTTAATGGGTGTACTTTTTGTTCTGTTTTTATATGCATATTCATTTTCCTCCAAATTGGTATCATTGGGTAAATAGTTTTGTATCCCACTGTTTGAAGTACTGTTAGTTTATACGTTAATTGCTGCTTGAGATCTTTTGTAATCATTGGCCAGGTTAGATGCTTTGTAGATTGGTTTTAAAAATGATAGGTCCTCAAGCAGCTGCCTTCGGCTCGGGTCGTGATCCCGGCGTCCTGGGATCGAGTCCCACATCGGGCTCCTTGCTCATCAGGGAGCCTGCTTCTCCCTCTGCCTCTGCCTGCCATTCTGTCTGCCTGTGCTTGCTCTCTCTCCCTCTCTCTCTCTCTGACAAATAAATAAAATCTTTAAAAAAAAAAAAAATGATAGGTCCTCACTTCTCTGTATCGTTCCAATTTTAGTATATGTGCTGCCGAACCGAGCACAATAGGTCCTCACTTAATGGAGCATGCAATCTAGTGGGGAACACAAATATTAACCAAATATTTATATAATTGTAGTGTGTGTGAATGTATGTTTGTGTGTGAGTGCACATTCTAAGAAATGCCAAGAAAACAAGGTGCAGAAACTGTGAGCTCTATTGACACAGGGAAATTCGAGTTGAGGACCAGAGAGTGTAGGTATTTCCCAGGTGAGGTTGAAGGGAAATGGTTTACATGACCTTGGGCAATTCACCTGTGTTAAGTATTAATTTCATCATTATGAAATGGGAATAAAAGTATTGAGAATTAGATATTTCATATGAAGTATTTAACCTAGTATCTAGCATATAAGCATATAATCTAGCATTAAGACTCCCCAAAGTTATCATATGTTCATTATATAAAAATTTTTATATAAAGATAAGCCAAGGTAAGAAAATAAAAATATCTTGTAGTCCAGAGCTATTGTCATGATTATTTTGTTGATTTTCCCCTTTTTTATGGGTGTCTATGTGCATATGATAGATTATTAACTGAAAATAAAGCAAGTTACAGAACCATACATACAATTCTTTACCTTACAGGTCCTCTTTGTAGTTTTAGTGCTACAACTAGTCATGTCACTTGTCTTCTGGTATACTATGGTCTTGTTTTTCACTGTTTCTTTACTCAACATCCTTTGAGGGCTTTCAATTGTCATAGAACTGAGTGTTTCTATGAGGAAAGTGAAATCAACAGAATAAAATACAGCACAGAGGTGAAGTAAGATAAGGAGTTAGATATTTCAGTAGTGTTGAGGGCAAAACCTGTTTGCAATGGGTTAAGTAGTGAATGGAAGGTAAATAGTAACTACCCTTTTCTGGAAGTTTGCATGTGAAACAGAGGGTTTCAAGTTATATAAGAGGATTGAACTTTTTTGTTGACTGAGGGGAAGAGCTCATTAGACAAAGTGACCAAGATTACAAGGTACAGAGATGAACAAAGCCAGAGATGAAGGGTTGGGTCTAGGGAGCAGCAGAGCTGTTGACTTTGGATTGAACCACAGGTTGACTTTGAGACCCATGGAAGGGCAGTTAAAAATGATTAGAGGGTGAGTGGAAATTTAGGTGGGGATGTGGGGGATCAAAATGGAACATTTCAGCTGGCCTCAATTTTCTTGATATTCTAAGAGGCAGGGCAGTCTTAAGAGTGGGAAGGTGGGGATTGAGTTGGGGATTTGAGAATGGTGATGTATAGTTGTTGAGGGGCTTTGGAGAGGAGCTGACAAAGGCCAATCATAATAACCAATGAGTGGCACGGAAGGTCTAGCTGATGTTCGGCATCACAAATCAATTGTGGCACCTAGTTCATTGTGTGGTTCTTCTTTAGGCAGATCTAACTGGAATAGGATTAGAGAAGGCAGATGCATCACTAACCCCTAACTCACACCCATTTTGGTTTAAGGGAGTGGTATCAGGGATTTTTAGTAAATCTTAAATTTTCCTTGTACCCCTGCATGATAAAAACACTTAAACTAGGAAAAGAAGGATGCCAACCTGAAAGAGGGCATCATACAAAAATCTCACAACTAACATTATACTTAGTGGTAAAGGACTTGAAATTACCCTCTAAGATAAGGAACAGTGATGTCTACTCTTACCACTTCCACTCTGTACTGGACGTAGCCAGGACAATTTGGCAAGAAAATGAAATAGAAAGTATCCAGATTGGAAAGGAAGAAGTAAAACTATATTTACAAATGGTGTGATCTTGCATATGAAAATCCTGAGGATTTTCTAAAAATTTATTAAAACAAGTTCGGCAGTGGGGCACATGACTGGCTTAGCTGGCAGAGCATGCAACTCTTGATCTCAGGTTCGTGAGTTCAAGCCCCATGTTGGACATGAGCCTACTTAACAAGACACAAGTTCAGCAAGTTTATAAGATGTGAGACCAATATACAAAAATCTATTGTATTTTATTTTTTAAGATTTCATTTATTTGACAGAGAGAGATCACAGGCAGAGAGAGAGGAGGAAGCAGGCTCCCTGCTGAGCAGAGAGCCCTATGTGGGGCTTGATCCCAGGACCCTGGGATCATGACCCGAGCCAAAGACAGAGGCTTTTTAACCCAGTGAGCCACCCAGGCGCCCCTCAATTGTATTTCTATACGTTTTCAATACACAACCTAAAAATGGAAATTGTTTAAGAAACAATTCCATTTACTATCAAAAAGAACGAAAGAGGTAGTGGCACCTGGCTGGCTCAGTCAGTAGGGAATGCAGCTCTTGATCTCGGGATTGTGAGTTCAAGCCCCATATTGGGCATAGAGTTTACATTAAAAAAGAGAGAGAGAGGGGAAAAAAAGTAAAATAGTGTTTAAAAAATTTAAAAAAAGAAGTGCAGGGGCACCTGGGTGGCTCAGATGGTTGAGTGTCTGCCTTTGGCTCAGGTCATGATCCCAGGGCCCCTGCTCAGTGGGGAGCCTACTTATCCCTCTCCCTCTGCCATTCCCTCTGCTTGTGCTCTCTGGCTCTTTCTCTGTCAAATAAGTAAGATCTTAAAAAAAAGAAAAAAAGGAAGTCCAAAACTTATTCTCTGGAAACCATAACACATTTTTGAAAGAAACTAAAGACCTACATAAATGGAAAGACATCCTATATTCATGGGTTGGAAAACTTAATTTTGTTAAGATGGGTATGCCCCCCAAATTGATCTACCAACACACTCCCTATTAGGATCTCAGCTGACTTCTTTACAGAAATTGGCAAGCCAATTCTTAAATTTATATGGAAATGTAAGAGACCTAGGATAGCCAAAACAGGCTTGGAAAAGAGCAAAATTGGAGGACACACCCTTGTCAAGTTTTATTTTTCTTAACTTTTTTTTTTCTTTTTTAAAATAAGCTCTATCCTCCGTGTGGGTCTTGAACTCTCAACCCTGAGATCAAGAGTCACCTGTTCTACTGACTGAGCAGGCTGGGTGCCCCCATACTTCCCAACTTTAAAATTTATGACAAGTTACAGTAATTAGGACAGTGTGGTACTGGCTTAAAGACATATAGATGAACTGAATCAAATTCGAAGTCCAGAATAAGCCTCTACACTGATGGTCAGCTGATTTTCAACATGGGTCCTAAGACAGTTCACTGGGGGAAAGAATAGTCTTTTCAACAAATAGAATACTCTGGGACAGCTGTCTAATAAGCATACGAAGAAATGCTCAACTTCACTGGTATTTGGTAAATACAAATCAAAATCACACTGAGATCCTGCTTCACACATACCAGCACAGCTATAATAAACAATGGACAAAACAGAAAAACACGTGTTGGTGAGGATGTAGAGAAATTGGACCCTCACACGTTACTGGATGAAATATAAAATGGTGCAGTCGCTACGCAAAACAGTTTGCAAATTCCTCAGAAAGTTAAAACACAGAATTATCATATGACCCAGCATTTCCACTCCCAGGTGTATATCCCAAAGAATT